AGCCAAAGAGCGCAATCGTTTGTGCTGTTGTGATAAACTCTGAGAAAAGATGAGAGCAAGAATGAGTTAAGTATTCTACTTTAAGAAGATCTAGAATATGTGCTTTCAGTTTATCAGAATTCCTAATAATAAAGAAGACTTGACTTGTTAGTTTATCTACAAAACCATTAAATTTAGATAAGTAGGTAAAGTGTGCTCATATTAATATAATGGAAGTACAACAACAAACGTGGGATAAAACAGCATCACTAAGAAGTTTAGATAATCATAATGATATGCCAGGATACCTCGATCCATTTTTTCTTCGTCTCCTCCCCACATGATCTTTGTTCTGGAAATCCAGGCTTACATAGAAGCGGACCAGAGAGAGGCACCCCATAGACCTGACCAGCCTGCCATTTAAATAGGGCGAATTTAGGTCTGATACCCTGAAATTCTGTACAAAGAGAACTTGAAAAGGAATGAAGTCACAGTCTCTAGATTACCTTGCGCTTCAGTGCACGAGACTCATTGATAGCTCTAAGACACTTTCTGACAGCCTACGGGATAGAAATTCGATTTAGTTTAATGTGAAACACAAATGAACTCCAATACAGATCAAGAAAATAAGAAAGTAAACACCGTCTCTACTCTCTAATACCGTACGTCTTTGCACTTTAGGACGACAGGCTTCGAAAAAGTATGCACCTGGGTCAATATAATCTCTTCCGCTTCCTAAAAGGGCCAAAATTAGAAGATGGATATTAATGCGACGAAAACTAGTGGAGTAAGGAATTCAAAAACTCTAACATCAGAAAAGATGAAACTTTTAATGATATAGACTTTCTGAGCCGTTAGTATCCCATGGAACTACATTTAAGGAATCATCACTACAATCTATCGAGCTACGATGAACATTCTGCCTTAGTAAGGCATTATTCCTATTTTAGTGTCCAGCATCTATAGGAGAATAACGTAGACATGGGTCTAAGATAAGATCGTTACACCTATTGCAAACATGTCAATAATAATAAATCATGATTTTTCAAACTTCTAAATAGTACAACAGTAAAGCAAAACAAAATTCGGGTGATCGCACCTTAAGTCCATCAACAGTTTCCTTGTATCCAAATTGAACATATTCTTTGGTTAGATTCTCTTCGGGAGAACTTGATGTTGGAGGATGAAAATCAGGGGGTCCAAGTCTGCAATTTATTGGAGACAAAAGTATAAATCATCTAAGAAAGTAAATAAAGATGGAAAAGAGTCGCCAATATCAAGTGTTCCAAGGACTTCGCTTTCCGGAGATAAAATAGAGAAATCCCAGGCTACAAACCCAACCAGCAAAAGTCGGGATCAACTATAAGGGGTTAATCCAAAACTAAACTAGGGATAAGGTCAAAGAGGAATTACCGGGAATTCAGACCGTCCTTTTCACACTTCAACTTGTAGGGTGTCAACGGTGGTGGCCTCCTGCAGTAAACACAAGTATTCACACGTCTTCAAGTGTATCAACATATAAAAATGCTATGCAAAGACTTCTTTCTAACGACATGCCTGGAATTTAGCGGGTAGTTTCCAATGGAAGAGGAATCAGCTCGTCCTGAGTCCCTAGCGGATGGACCACCTATAGCGCTATTGTTGACTGCACTAGTGCAGTTGGCAGCATGATACCTTTGCATTTCTCCAAGCTATAACCGGCATACTGGTTCTGACATCAACATACCATAATAAACTCTAAGAACAAATCCACATTCTAGCACCATAAGGAACTTTCACATGGACTTCCACTTTTATTTTTGCAACTTAGCACTGACGTCAGTGCAACCACACTGATGGAAGTAAACCCTGAAACATAAAAGTACCCCCAGTGTCTGAACTCACATAAGCCAAGATTGAAAACAAGTAGGAAACAAATAACATATAGTCTATGATATAGTGGCTTCAAGAGATGGTTTCATTTATTTGATCAAACTGTAAAATTCAGTTGTCTGAAATCCTGTCCAAAAGAGGTCATCAACCCCTACTCTTAACTTATCTACAGTTTAAATCGCCTACTAGATACCGCATTCTTTTCAAAATTTTAGCCGGAATACTTTCACTGAAACACACATCACTTATTTAGTTCACGTGAAATTCTGAGCTTAGCATGATACGGATTTGACCCCTAAAGACACATAATATTACACTATGAAGAACAAAATTTGATCTTGCGTAAATGTAAACTAACCCTAATTAAGCAACCAAACTAGAGGACATATGAACCCATTTATGAAAATTTGTCATGATTAATATTTCTACAAACAAAACAGAATCAGAAGTAAATTTGCAAGCTTTGTCCAAGAAGTGTTTATTCCCACAGGCAAATCTATTTAGCTGCCTCTAGCTACATAGCAGAGAAAGAAAGAGAGCGACAAATCCAAATAGACGCAGACGAAAATCTGCTGAAACCAAATCCTATGAGCTAGAAAACAATCACCGCAATCAAATTACCAAATCGAACTAGGCGAGCATACACGATAAATAAATAAACTAGGGTTTCAAATCGAAAACTAACCAATAGGAGCTCCAGGTGACCCCAACAATCCGGAGTCGAACCAAAGTTAGGGTTTTTGACAGCAAATTCCACGAATTCGACCTCGACCCTGAAGAAAAGAACTCCAAGAACCCGGAGATTCGACGAATCGAAGGAGAGATTTAAAACGAAGCAGGAATCAAAGCTTGGAACTTTGAAGCAATTGAGGGTTTCCAAAGAAGGGGAAATCTAAGAGAGCGAGAGATGCAGAGGGGAGAGATTTAGGGAGAAGGAAAAGAGCGGAACACGAAACCAATTAAAAGAAAAGAAAAATTAAAAAGGCCCAGAAGAAGAAGAAGCAAAGAGGTTAATAAAGTTTGACTCTTTTCAATCTCTCCTCTTCTGCAAAGAGTCTTGTTCGCTTTTGGGTGTAATGACGACGACGAATGCTGCTTTCTAAATTCCTTTCTGCAGATTTTGATACCGTAATTTCGGATGTGAAATCGTTTCGCGTGCTCGAGGAAGAAAACAAGGAACAGAACAACACCAAACACCAACAACAATCGAATAGAAGCAGCAGCAAAACAAACTCTCTTCGATCGATCAATCGAATTCGATCTAACACACACTGTTCTGGTAAGAAAATCTTAACCTTTTCTGGTATTTATTTCCGTTTTTGCCCTCGACTTCTCTCCCCTTGCTTGTCTCTTATGTTGGAAGGGCCAATTTGTAAATTAGTATTTATGAGACTAGTTTGACATGAGATGGTGGATGCAACAAGGGTTTTGTCTTCTGAATCGATTTTTCTTTCCTTTTTCATCGAAATTTTCTTTTTTATCTTTAGATTTCCATTTACTAAAGTCTAAAGAGATGTTTTGTATAGTCTTTATAGATTTCTATTGCATTTCCATACTCAATAACTATGATCCGATCAAAGTTTGCTTAGATGTATTTTAGAAATACTGTATTCGTTTAAAGAATTTTGTTTTGGCAACGGTATGAAGACCAATAAATAGTTTGTTGAATTCACAAGATTCATGTTAGATAAAGAAAAAGGTGTAGTTGTTTTTCTATTTCAATTACAGTCTCTGTTATACTACGTTCATTCTTATATTATTTCATGTTCTCTAATTTTTTTTTTTTGGTCATCTTTTACATCATCACAAAGTGCTCATTCCCTAATTTATTTGAGACTATCATTGAAAGGTAAATAATATACTAAAAACGAGAATATATAAGAAACAATATTGATTGTTGCATAATATGATCCGGTTGTGTTATTAATACATTGCATTTTAATATACAAGAACCTTCAACTTGTTTGTTTAATTAATTAACTGAAATAAATTAATTAATTTTCTTAAGAAAAGGTAAAAAAGTTTTAACAAAAAAAAATACATTTTATTAATATTGGGTTGTAAATGAAATTAATTCAGTTTGGTTAACTTGTTTAGAATCCATCATCTTTATCAGGTGTACTATCTTTTGTGTCCACAATAACCATATCCCATCAAGTTATTCACTAAGTAGGGCATAAAGTGCAACAACTCCAAACATTATCCAAAACTTTATATTATGCTTACAGATCTTTCATTTCTCGATTGAGTAAAAATCCCTAGAGATTTGCGTTTCTTTTCCTTAGCTAAAAACTCCACATTATCATCTGTTTATCAATCCACCAATTCTAGACTACAATTTACAACACATTTTTCAACTGTTTTAAACATCAATTCACCATTCTTCTTTAATTTTCATATAAATATATAAAAAAGTACTCTAAAGTACATTGTTATATCATTTTTATCTTCATTTCTCTTCTCATTTTACATCTATCTTCCTCTTGGTAGATCCAGGATCTATCAGAATTCACTCTAAGCTTGAGTTTACAGAGATTGAGCTAGAGAAGAACAACAATACAGAAACTGCTCTCTCTCATCGAAGAAGATGATGATTAATCTAACGACTCTCTCTAATCATATACTAGAGCCAGTCATGACATTTGAAAGGCTAAAACAAGGAAAAAATGATCCACTGAAGTCGAATAGTTTTTTATTGCTATCCATGATCAAGATTTCAAGAACATGATGTTTGATCTACAATGGAAGAACATAACCGTGATGTTAGTGCAGCCCAAGAAAACAGATAAAGAACTTCGACAAGGCTCTCTGCCGCATGGTATGTGTCAAATTTGGTATGTGGAGGTCAACCTATGCATAGAGGATTATTCTTTTCAGAAAATGTACTTGGTATTTGTGAGTTTCTGAAGAGTTGTTTGTGTAAAAGGTTTAATTGTTATTCCTCTTTGTTCTTGTGTTCTTGTTCAACTGGACTGCTCATAGTTACTGATTTGTGTAAATCCATGCTCCATTTACTCTCTAGAGATTTGTGTTATGGATGTTTATTTCCTCCTTACTAAAAACCACATTATTATCAACTCACTGATCTTGTATATTTTTAAAATTTGATTATAAATAAATAAAGAAAGCACTCTAAATTTATTACCAGCAGAACATTGTCCTATCATCAAATGAGTAATCAAATAATACATTGTTATGTCATTTTTCTGAAAATATCACACACAAATAAATCAATAAAACCGAAAGAACTACATTTCTCTCCATCTCAACACACAAACACGCAAACAACTCAAATTGAAGAAAAATCATATCCTATATTATAGACCAATGGTCCTGTCTAGTGTCTATGAAAGGGATTCTATAATGACCCCACCACAAACAGTTTCTGTTCTGGTCTTGAAAGGTTCTTATCTCCTCTCTCTCTCTTTCTCTCTCAGCAGCCTCAGGTCTCTGATAGTTATTGTCTTGAGTAATTTGAAGTATCTACATGGTTCTGCGGTGATAAAAGTTAGCAATGGTGACAGTGAGGCTATGCTCAGAGCTTGCAGCTGTCTCATCGATGGCTTTGTCTTTGAGAAGAGAGTTTTCACTTTTCATGACCTTTTATAGTATAAGGACGCTCTCATCGGTCTTCAAATCAGCTGGAAACAGAGAGTGCTCAGTGTTGTTGAGGCAGTTTAGAGTGAGCTCTTCAAGTAATTCCTCCAGAATCAGTTCGCTAGTTTCAAAGCCAATGCAGTCAATGTCGCATCTGATGTCTAACCAGTTTCCAGCTTTAGCCATATCTTTTCTAACTATTTGATCTAATGCGTGAGGGAGTGGCAATGGCAGAAGATGCCAGTAGACCGCTTCTTGAACCTCGTGAATGATGGCTTTGACGGTAGAGAAGACTCGGGTTCTTGGTGTAAGTGTAACAAATGAAGTCCATGGAGGGCAACAGCATAGCTCCATGAGAACTTCATTGATGCAGTCAAAGAGGAGCTCATGGTCAGGACAAAGGTGGTTTGGACAGAATGGGATATTGCTGATCAGTGCCGGCTCAAGAAGCTGGTCAGAGAATAGCGCCTTCAGATAAAGCTCTTCAAAATTTGAAACAACAGCGTCCAAGACTGCTCTTACATACTTAAACACTAATTCTTTATCACTTGTGATAGTTTCGTCAGAAGGCTCCCGGCTTTTAGCTGCAGAATCTTTTTCATCAAAGTGGATACACCAAGGTTGCACCTGTGCTTCATCTGAGTTGTTAAGATGAGTCAATCTTTGCTCATAAAGAAGTACAAATTAAGTACTAGAATCCAAGTCCAGTAGTAGATGCTGGGATCTTTTTTTACATACCAGACTGAGACCGCATTTTTGGTGGGCTTATATCATCTTCAATGAAGAGTGGCTCAAGAACTGATATTGGGCTGGACCACTCCGTAAAATCAGTCATAGCTGATTTGCACTCCTCACTTTTAGGTAAACAATGTGACGGTGAGGCTACAGAAGAAGACAGTGATGGTTGGCTCTCTTCATGAGACGTCTGTAGCTGAAACGAAGCAGAAAAACCTATTTAATTATTCCACCATTTCTTTATTTCAAAGTCCATACAGAAGATAATATTTATAGTGATGAATCAAAATGACTTGCCTGTTTTGAGATTATATCGTCTCTCAGTTCATCATGAGCTTCAACTTCAGATAAGTCACCAACCAAAGTAGAGCTTGCTTCCTCTGGAACTAAATCTATCTCATTGATAATCATTACATCGAAACCTGGAAGATTGGCTAGTTATTAGATTAATTACTGTATTCTCAAACAGAGTGACCAAAGAGGAGCCTTACAATTGGACAGAAATATTATTACCTGCAGCAGAGATTTTCTCTTCGTTAGCAGTTCCATCCTCCATGTCAACACTTTCTTCGGTAGGTTCACTTGCGGTTGGTTGAAGAGACTCGACAGAATTTTCAGGTTCTTTGCTTAGATTGCAGACCTGAATATCAGCATTTTTCATTGCATCCTCTGGTTGGCTCGCTTGAGTTTCTTTCCTGATGTTCACAGCATTTGTGAAATCCGCTGAAGCAGACTTCCTGTGTGCAGTTGAGCTCTTTTCCCATCTTCTGCCTGGGCTGCTTAAAGGAGACAAGTACTCAGGAAGAGAGAGTATTCTTCCTAGAGTTCTTTGAACCTGTCTGCTTGTTGAGTTCGAATCAAGATCTCCATTGTTTAGCATCTCAGACAGATGTTTCTTGGCCTCTGTATAAATGTTAGATACCCTTTGCTTTTTATCATCTTCACTGTTCTCTTGTAAAACTTTATGAGATTTGTTATGAGATGTTGAAGGCCTTGCCATCCGCTCGAGAAAGAAATGATCTTTAGTTGGCACATTTTTGGGAAACCCTTCCCCAAATGTCCCCTCACGCTGCAGCCCCGGTTGCTCCTTTCTGATTGCTTGTTTCAGCTTCTTCTTGATCTCAGAAAGAAAGAAATGTGAACTGTTTCTCTCGTTCTGCATTTTGTTTCTCATCAAATGGGAATCAGGTGACGAACCACGGCTATTCCCTGTGTCTGGACTTGAAAAGCTTGCTGATCTTGGCTTCAGAATGAAAATCCGGTCTGAAGCTTCGCATTCTTTGTCATCAATCACTTCTTGTGGTGCATCTTTCCTCCTGAAAAAGCTAGACCATCTCTTATCAGCAGGAGAAGATTGTTCTGATGCTATCTCGAACAAGCTCAAGTTTTCTTCTCTTTTCTGACTTTGACAGTTTTGTGAATTTTGAATGTCCCTTGGCACAAGTATCTCGGGATCTTGCAGAAGTTTGAGAAACAATTCCTCATCCGATCCCAGAATCTGAAACACTTCCATCAAGTCCTTTGATGTAAGGATTTCACTATTTTCTCTGGGACGGTTCCCATGTAAAAGCTTCTGACCGATTAAAAACTTGACCAACTCTCTCAGTTTTTCTTTATAATCTTCGTGCTTGTGGTTCACCATCCCATTCTTTGCAAGGCTTGTGCTTCTGCGATGAATCTCAGAATAGAACTCTTCAATCATGTTATCAATGTCAAGACTCCTTGCCGACCCATGATGCTTCTTGTTTCTGCGATGAACTTGAGGCTCTTCGATGTCAACTGTGTTTATATGTCTAAAATTGTCGCAGCTCTTCTTCCGGGTCTTGTTTTTCCTCCTCTGGTTTTTCCTTCTTCTTCCTTCGAGTTCAGAGTCAGACAACTGTCCTGCCTCAGCATTCTCCCTCTGCTTCTTGATTTCTTTGTCAATCAATAACTCTTCTGCTATGAGTTTCTTCACACTTGGCTTTATAATCGTAATCGTGACATTGCGTTCTTCACCAACCTTTAACAGAGGATACTCTTAAGACAGAAACAAAACAAAAAAGAGTTAATGGATGTTTGAGAAAAGTTTAAAGCTTACATGGGTTTCTTGAGCATCCTTGTCGCGGCATTTGGACTTGTCAAGCTGACTGTTCTTGGGATTTCCCGCACCTGAAGCCATTAACATAACTGTTAACCAAAACAACTCTTTCGAAGGTAGTGCAAAACCAAAAAATGCAGGTATAAATGACATGAAGGTTACCATGCTTTTGGTCCACAAGCAGCTTGTGAGCCAGTGGTCCATGGCGGAAAGTAAACATATTCATAAATCCCCACATGCAGCCTAGCTGATCCCTCTCATGTCGCGCAGCTGCACGTCGTTGAGTTTTCTTCGCCATGGCTTTCTATGGACTGTATTCAGTTTTAATGCTCCTTTCCTTAAACTTGCTCAGCTATTCTTTAACGATGTGCCTTAAGATAAGCTGAAGAACAACAAGAAAACTATTAAGCAGCGAGAAATAAGGGACAGGAAACACCACACCATACGGTAAAATATTGAGTTCAGATATAGATATAAGAAAGCTGATGAATCGTACTTATGGATGTACAATCTCAGATTCTTGAGAAACAAATAACAATAACCAGGCCAAAAATTTCCACGATTAGACTTAAATAAGAAGAGAGAAAAAAAACAACAAAAATTACCCTTCTGAAACACTGCAATGGAATTCTTGAGGAATAAATTAACATAAGAAGTAAAGGATCCTCTACCATTTTCCCAATCCAAATCAAACTCCTTTTACACTCTAATAATTGTTTACTTCATCAACAAATCGGTGTGATTAGGCAAAATATTTATTGTAACCAAAGGAAAATAAGAAGACAACAACTAGTCCATTACTTATGGAGCAAAAGCAGATACCTTTCCCTTTCAAAAAGACTGCAGAGGAAAGTACCTGAGATTCTTCTGAATTCCAATCTTCCTTGAAGAGCAACAGCGATTGTATCTGGATTTCATATGGTTTTATTTTCTTTTGAACAAAACCACCATATAAGTGTTGCAAGTTGCAGCACAGGTAATTAATTCTTAAGTTAGCTCCAAAACTTTCTTTTGATGCCAAGATTCAGGGTTTTTCTTAAAGCATAGCCTGAGAACCAGTTTTGATCGCCGGACAAAACGGTGGGAAAACAAATAAAAAGAAGAAGGAGGATGAAATTTGGGATTTCTTTCAAGCCAAGGCAAGAGACAAGACGTCAATAGGTTAAACTAAGCAAATGATCTCTAAATCATTTTTCGAGCTTATAAGCTTCAAACAGAGGACAAAGTAGCGTATCTTCAGGCTTTAATCTCTAGCCACATTGTTGATCTGACAACTTTTCAAGGTTGTGTCGAGAAACCAAGCTTCTATAATCATATGATCAAATCAAAGGAAGGAAAAAGAGAAAAGCTTTGGTCATAAATCAGAAATCTAGCTTTGGTTTCCACAGTTGATCAACAACCTAACAGAGAAAAAAGTAAAAAAAAGACAATTAGAAGAGTAAAAAATTGGTTCAACAAAAAAAAAACCTTCAACTGTTCAACATTCAAATAAATAGAAAAAGAAGAGATATTTTCTTTCTCTCTTGGTGGGCATCTTTTGACAAACAAGAAAGAGAGAAAAAAAACTATATATTAATTGAGTGTCTTATCTATCGACCGACAAAGCCATTAGTTTTCATAGAGGATTCTCAATTGGGCAAAGGCAAAGAAAAAGTGAAAGAGGGAGAGAGAGATGGGAGAAAAATAAGTAAAAGTGGAAGCTTTATGCGAATTTTTACAACCACAACGTCGTGGCATTAAGATCCACAGGAGATGAGAAAAAGGAGAACACAGTTGGAGAAAACTTTCATATGGGCCCATCTTTATTCTCTCTACACAGAGGAGAGAGAGAGAAAGCTTTAGTTAGAAGAAAAGTATTTGCAGAGTTTTCAACAGCCTTCATCATTAGCCTCGCCAGTAAATAATTGATCTCTCTTTTCTTCTGAAAGCTCTGAAATTGATAAATGGCAGTGAAGGATGATTGTGTGGGAGATGATGGCTCATGGCTGCTGCAGAGAGGGAAAAAATGGGGTTGGGTGAATAAAAGCAAAACGATAGGGGTCATATTGTAAACTATTAGAGAATAGAAGGTTGGAAAAAGAAAAATTACAAAAGAAAAATGAAAGGGAAGAAAGAAAGATAAACTATTAGAGGCGACGTAATTGGTGGTTTCGCTAATGGAGAATGGAGAACACGTAATTTACACCAAACACAAATCATAGAAATGAATAAATTAGTCTCTCTCTCACGCCATTATTTCATATTTCATTGACCAATTCTTTTTAATCTCGTTACGTTCTTATGTCTTGTCATTCTCCTGAGAGTTGGGCCGTTTCCATAAAATCTTTCTCCACACCAAAATTTTTTTTTCCATAACCAATATAATTTTCCCGAACCAAGTATAAAGCCAAACTTAACCAATAAATTTTTCCATACAATCTTTCTCCACACCAAAAAAAAACTCAGATATTAAAAAGTTCAACACAAATTGTATATAAATTTCAGAGGTGTTCTGTTTTTGTCTGCTCTTAAACTGATTGTAACTTAATAGATATCTTATGTTGGTAAGATCAAACACTTAAGAGCTATATAAGATTTAAAAATATACATACACAAAAAAGGAAAGAATTTTAGATCATTGAATCCATATAACAGAGCATAGATGAAAATTATAACTCAGATTTAAAGTTTCCCTTTTTAAGCAAAAAACAATTATGTGGGGCTTGCGGAGAAAGTCGAGCACTTTAAAGAAAATGGTCCAACAGAAATAATTAGCTCGCATTGTCTGATTCATCGGTGGCAAAAGTCGAAACCATATGTTAAATCAGATTCTAATCGAATAGATCTTGACCATGATCATCAGTTAGTTCCATTTAGTTCTTTTAAAGCAACTTAATTCAGCCAGGGACCATTGTATATGTCTATGTATGAGATATCTATAATATACGTATATATATATATATATGTGTGTATATATAATGTATGTGTACATAGACAAATAGTCAGGGTTGCCAATCAATAGACCCGCACACGATAATGCGCACGCGCACAAACGTATATATACACACACTAATATAATAGAATGCCAGAAACGTGCCATTGTTTTTTGGAATTTGTCGACCGAAAAAATAGATATGGACACTCCCAATAAACAAAAAAGATAGTGACGATTCGAGGTTATGATAGTGAAGCAATTTCTTTCCCTAATACACCTACTTTATGAACATCTGATCAGTGGATGAGAAAAAGGTAAGAGCTTTTCTACTGGCAAATAAAGAGCCATAGTAACTAAGAAATTGTAAGAACTAGCATTACAAGTAACAATATAAAAATGTCGGATATACAGCTTTTTTTTAACCGTTTTTGTGATTGACATATATTAAAGCCGTAAACTTAGTACTACTGTGATACGGGTTACCAATTAAATGAATTTTAAATCTCACAAAATTAAGATTCAAAAGAATAATATTATAAAACTTTACATTTACAACTTGGTTTTTACATTATCTACATGTTACTAACATTTTTTGTACATGGTCTTTTCAGTACTTAAAACTAACAATGTACACACAAGTAAATAATTTTTCCAAGTGATCTATTTTCGAAAACCAAAATATCACACACATAAAAAAAAAATCTTACAATATAAATTATCCAAACGGAACATAATATAGAATTTATTGATTTGTTATAGTACTAAGAGCAAGTTCAGTAGTGAACCCCATAGAAGGGTTCATCCAAATAAAAAATTAATATTTTGGGTTTATATGGATTGGGAAGAATTTCGGGTGAAATTGAGGTTTCAGTAGTAAACTCTATTTTGAGGTTCATCCCGAATAAAAAAAAATAATTTTTTTTAAATTTTTAAATTTTTTTTTAAAAAAACACACATTTATTATAATAGAAAAATACAATTCATTACACATAATTTTAGAACATACAAAATATAAGAGTACAATTTAATACAAGATAATTAAAAACAATGCTTGCCAGAAAAAAAAAAAAAAGAATAAGAATCAAGAAGAAGCTGAGCGAAGTCATAAGCTTTCTCTCCAATGTCATCGCAAATCGCAAGCTGCTTGATCATCAATACGCATAGGAAGCATTCCGGGTGAATCTAACAGATCCAAATCTTTCCCAAGCTTCACCATTTGTTTACAGTAAGATATGAAAGGCGACCAGTGGCAATGATCAACATAAGAATCTTGAATGTGTTTGCGAGAACTGAGCGAAGGTTTTTAAAAGCATTATTACTTCATTTCTCTAGTTACGCCTTGTCTTGGAGCTGCAGTGCAAATTTTGCACTTCAATAAACGATTGATCAAAGATGATTTTCTAACATTAAAGTATCCAATTATTCCAGCTCTAACCTGCATCATTTGAAGTAATCGTAAAATTGGAGTCATAAATGCTGCAACAGATATAGTGGATCATGAAACATTTTACTCACTGATCTGGGGAGAAGTCCTTTTTCTCGCCGTTTCCCATTAACATCACCTGCTAATAGGGCTGGGCAAAATATCCGTTATATTTGTTTCGATTCGTTATTCGTCTCGATTCGATCCGAAAAATCCGGATATCCGTAATTTTATAGAGTAAAGCAAATATTAAAAAAAATTAAGACGGATATCCGCTCCGCTCCGGTATAAATATATATGTATATATAAATATATAATAAATCATATAAAATGTATAATTATTATATATAAATGTAATTTTTGTAAGTTTTTGTTTATAAATTTGATTATTATAAATATTAAAACTTAAAAAGTTAAGAAAAAATATTTTTTAAAAGAAAATATTGTTATTTTTAATTAAATTTTGAATTTTTTAATATTTATTTTATATATATTATTATTTAAATATTTTTGTGGAGCGGATCAAATATCCGGTAAATATTCAGATTTTTGCGGATATCCGGAAAACGGATATCCAGATAATTACGGAGCGAATACGGATCGGAAACATGATTATCCGGACGAAGCGGAGCAGATCACGAATATCCCTAAAATCCAGGAGATATCCGCTCAGTGCCCTTTTTGCTAACCGACCTAGCTTCATAGCTCCCTACAACCATCACTCAGAGATTATTAAACCAATCAAAAAATCAACCCAAAAGCAACGATTAAAGTTATAAAAACCATACCATCCTAAGTTTGCCATTAGTGAAAATGACCTTTATTCCTTGCTTTGCAAAGTATCTAGCCCAATCATTTTGATCATCGTTTGATATCATATCTTCTCTATTTAAATACTTTATTAACCCTGATTTGATTGTAACAAAAACCCCAAATTTTCCCCCCAATTCACGAAATCCTAACTCGACAAAACACAACAAATCATGCAAAATCAAACAGCAGAAAACGACCACACAACTTACCTTGACCTCGTGATTCGATGACCCTTTCCGATTTCGACAAAGTCTCGATGATTTTTCATGGAAGATTCTCGCCGGAGGAGATGAAGCGGAATCGTCGAAGAGAAAGAGAGAAGAAATATTTTTTGTTGACAAAAATAAAAGAAAATTTTCTCCAAATCTTTTTTTCCTAGACCAACCAAAACAAAACACGTGGCAATGAACCTCAAGACGAGACGGGTTCTTCAAGCTTTTTCTGAAGGATCGGTTCATCCAAGTGTAGACATTTTATTAATATTTTAATCTTAAAAAGGTGATGAACTCCTTCTTTGAACCCGCGACGAACCCTTGCTGGAGGTGCTCTAACGAATAACGATGTATTAGAATCTATATTAAAAGCTGTGTTTTATATATTTGAGAAAGAAAAACAAAAGAAGTAAAAACTCTATTCAAAGGAAATGAACTAAATATATTTGATATCGCACATGTACATTTAAAATTAGTTTCTTTGTTGAAATCTAGTGAGAATTAGGAATGGGTAGGATGATATATATATATATACTATATATATTAGTAGTTCGGAATCATCACTACCATAACTAGTAGGGTCAATGGCCTTTATCTAGAAGATGTTACACCTATACATAAAAACAAAACTAACCAATGTTAAATTTTGCTTAATTGCTGAAAAAAGGCAATCGATGAATTGTTTAACCAGATAGATAAGCAACATTATAGCAGCTTTAATCATAATGTTTGGCGCAATTAAAGAATATATGGGTAACGAATTTTCTAAACCAGTCACTTTACTTTTACGAAGATAATTGGAAGAATATTCCTCCAGCTTTGATTTAGATCTCTGCTATAAATAATTCAAAGGGATAGAGCGTACCAGGCTGGGCCTTTCAGAAAAATGGGGACGTTTTCAAATTGATCTCAGGCCTTCGAGTCTTATTAAGTCTTTCCGACAATGGGCCTCGAATTGGTGTTTTTGGAAGAGAGATTACACAAATTGCTTCTCACCTTTGGGTTTCTTCACCAAAACCACTGTACCGTTAACATGAGATAACCCTTATACCATAAGTCTTGACTTGTATCCAGAAAGTTTGATTTTTGGTAAAGAGCAATTTTGGAACTAAAAAAATCGTGATTAGATTTCTTAGCTATTAATTTGCTCAAAATATCAATCAGCTATCATAATCATAATCATATTATCTGAGTCTTGATTATTAATAACCTCAACTAAGGTCTTCCTTTCTTACACCAATCTCTAGATTGTGGAGTTGAAATTTATATGGCGCCACCTTATTTTTTTTTTCCTTGACATCTATATGGCGCCACCTTCTATGATTGTGAAATTAGCTGTTGATGGATTATATATATATTACTTATAACTCCAACAAATATAAAACAAACAAACAAGGATGTTAACTAATTAAAGAAAACCTAACAAGGACAAGCATGTTTTTGAAGTTCAATTTAAAAAGGAAAATGGACAGGACATATTTATTAAATTATATAAGTTAACAACTAGCAACAAAAGTAAAAAAAAAAAAAAACAATCATACTAAAGAGGGTCAGTTCTTTATGAAATTATATGATTATTGGCCCAAAATATGTGAGTAGCACTAGACCTATAATATAATTGGGTCGGGTTGCTACCAAATTTAGTGGGATTACCAAAGCTAAATAAATGTCTACAAACCACACAATCCAACAGTCCAACTCAACCAAACTCATTGCCTAGACAAATCCATAACTTCCCAACAAAACACAACTATCCAACTTAAGCAAAACTATCTTGATACATTTTTCAGTATTTCTCAAATGTAGCATTAAACGGTAAACTGAACATATAGTTCTTTTACCATTACAATTTAGCTAGGAAGATAAAAATGAAATATGCTTTTTTGGTCTAAATGAAATTGCTAACATCACAAAATAATTCTAATTTTCCGAAGCAATCATTTATTGCTAATGTCAGCTATTAATAATTATATCAAAGGAGGAAAATGTCATATAGACTGTCATATACGGCTTTGGTCGGGACCGTCCCAATAAAACAAAACACATGTTTAACGGGTTTACTCTATCTTTTGCCACGTGTCAAGAATGAATTGGCTGGGCGGTACTGAGTTGCGTTTCAAAAATGAATACGTCGCACACAATTCACATTAACAGCTTCCACAATACTGTATATCTTTTTTCACAATTCTGTACTCTATTGGAAAGAAATAAACATTTAGTAAAATGTTCATTTACAAAACTTAATTTGAAAATTTGGAAATTTTGAGGATAAGAACTAGTGTTGTTGGCTAGGCAACGAAGCATGTGATCACAGAGAAGCAATACCCATCTCTGAGCTGTTCAAACCTTTACATGTCAGCACCCAAAATTGGAAACTGAATTATTTATTTACTTGCATGCAAACCAATAATTGAATAAAAAAAAACCTCCGATGGTTCTTTATTCTTTTTTTTTGTGTGACAAAAATGGTCCTTTATTCTTTCAACAAGCGAATTACAAATATTAAGTATCATTGATTAGAGACCAGATTTATAATGCGAGGCTTGTCAATTTCAGGCAACATAGTAGAAAGCTGAGCAAAAGTTAAAAAGGAAGCACCACGTGGTAGGTTGATAATTGTCCCTACCATTGCTACATTACCTTTAATCACTAATTCGGTATGTAACACTATTTTTTGGTCATTATATTTTCTGGAAGGAATGATTGAAATAGGGAAGGAAATATGTAAAACAAAAATAAAATTTACCCAGGAACAATACAAAGGCAATAAAATATATATATATATATATATATACATGATTTCTGAATTATTTTAAGCATGGCACTGTAGTCCAGAGAATATGACTTGCTGTCAATTTTTCTCCAACGGTCCGATATGTGATCCTGAAAACAAAGTTAACAAGTGATTTTCGTTGGGGTGATTCGTTGAGCTCAGCTCTTTTCTTTTCTTTTACCGTTTCTTTTCTTTTCTTTTACCGTTTTATCTATTGGGCTTTATTGGGCTGGTTGATTTTATTACCGTCCAAAAACTGGACCCACTATCTTTTTTCTAGGCAAGAAGAAAAGAGAAAAGACAGGTCAGATTTTTGTCTATATACGAGAGCCACCTCGGTACGTTCTAGAACCCTCTCCAGTCTCCTCCATCGTTATTTCTATTTAATACAAATTACAAAACTATTCATTTACATAAATATTTATATGTTCATTAATCACCACAACGTACAATCTAATATAAGTATAACGGCACTAGACTAGGTGATATAAAACAATACGAAACTAGATTAGTACTTTAACAAAATAGAGAAAATTCATAATTGTGTTAACTAGCAATCTAGCATTACCGCAGCAATATAACTCATTTGTTACGCAACTAACAGTATGATTTCTTATTACAACGATGACAATAATTAGGTGTTAACTATTCGTTATACTAGTTGACACAAAAAAAAAAACACACACACACACTATTGGTTCTAGTACTGTAGTAGTATTTATTTTCTGTCTTTGTCCAAAAAATAAAAATATTGAAATTTAATGTTTGGAGACGTTAGGCATTTTTATATGCTATCCTCTATAAATTTCAGTCTCTATCCACCACACACACAATTCTTCTTCACTGAAGAAAAAGAAAAAAAAAAGCTTAAAAACTTGGCACCTTTCTTGAGAGAGAGAGAGAGAGAGAAACCCTAAAAAAAAGAAGTGGGAGAGAAATGGACGGCAAAGAAGAAGATGTGAGAGTTGGAGCTAACAAGTTCCCGGAGAGGCAGCCGATCGGGACGTCGGCTCAGTCGGACAAGGACTACAAAGAGCCACCGCCTGCGCCACTGTTCGAGCCCGGAGAGCTGAGCTCATGGTCGTTCTGGAGAGCTGGAATCGCCGAGTTCATAGCTACTTTCCTCTTCCTTTACATCACTGTTCTGACTGTGATGGGAGTGAAGAGAGCACCAAACATGTGTGCATCTGTTGGAATCCAAGGCATCGCTTGGGCCTTTGGTGGCATGATCTTTGCTCTTGTCTACTGTACTGCTGGAATTTCAGGTCATCTTCCTTGCGTTCCGTTTTTTTTTTTTCTTTTCTTCTTCTTATCGTTTATGGATTAGTTGCTGAGCTTGGTTTACCGAAAAAGTAGAAAAATTTCGATTCTTTTGATGTTTGGATTTCTCTAGATCTCCGAAATGGAAGGCAAAGAAGTAGTTATTCTCAGAAAGTTAAAAAGTATATATTTAAAAGGAGAAAAACCTGAATCTGTTGAGTTTATTTGTCGTTGTAATTTCTGGAAAATCTGAAGGTGGTTCTTTGTTTTGGTTCTGGGTAGATGCTCTGTTTTTAGCGTTTACCCGAAAAGCATCAAGGACGTTGGCAGTTAAAAAAGTAGTAAAATTTCGGTTCTTTTGATGCTTAGGACTCTCGAGATCTCTAAAAGCTATTTCCATTTCTCCAAATTTTACTGTAGTTTCCTTCAAAGCTCGTAACTTTTATGGTGATATCGATGTTGACCCTTCAAATCTGTAACATATGTTTGGGATTTATGTTTCAGGTGGACACATCAACCCTGCGGTTACATTCGGTCTGTTCTTGGCTCGGAAATTGTCTCTGACCAGAGCTGTGTTCTACATGATAATGCAATGCCTCGGAGCCATCTGTGGTGCCGGAGTCGTCAAGGGTTTCCAGCCAACGCCGTACCAGACTCTCGGTGGCGGTGCCAACACAGTCGCTCCCGGCTACACCAAGGGTTCTGGACTCGGTGCTGAAATCATCGGAACCTTCGTTCTCGTCTACACGGTCTTCTCCGCCACCGACGCCAAGAGAAGCGCCCGTGATTCACACGTCCCGGTAAGTACCCCACTTTCCCGGTTTATTCCGGTTTGCTATTTCTCAGGTGTTCGGTTTGTTGATTTTATATGGTTTAATTAGTAGTAGCCAACGAGCCAATTAGTTTTTCTCTTATTGTTTCCGGTTTGTGTCTGATATTTTTTCTATCAAATGGAAATTGTAGATATTGGCGCCACTCCCAATCGGGTTTGCAGTGTTCTTGGTACACCTGGCGACAATTCCGATAACCGGAACCGGAATCAACCCAGCTAGAAGCCTTGGAGCCGCCATTATCTACAACAAGGACCACTCCTGGGACGACCATGTGAGTTCAACAACACTCCCTTTCTAAATTAGAGGACCACTCAAACACATTTTTACTTTATTATATATATACATGAATATGTGTGTTTGAAATTTGAATAATTATTTTGTGTGTTGCAGTGGATTTTCTGGGTTGGACCATTTATTGGAGCAGCTCTAGCAGCACTCTATCACCAGATTGTCATCAGGGCCATTCCTTTCAAGAGCAAGAGCTGAGCGATGAACAAAGATTCCACGGTCCTGGATTTGTTCTCTAATGTCGTGTAACTTGTTTGCGTATTATATATATCCACCACCTAGCTTTTGTTTTGCTATGTATTTGCTACCCATTATGGAGCCTTTTCAGCAAGTTATTTGGGATTTGTCTGTAAGAAACCTGGTTTGTTCTACTACTGTGGACTGCTCTTTGCTTGCATCTCAAAATTATTTCTGTTTTCTTTTCTTCAGCAGTTCAATGTATTAGGCCCTAGTTTACGTTAATGGGGATCTCCCAAAGTGCTTCCATTTAAAACTACATAATTTTGGTCCATTTGTGAGCGATTGGCTCAACATAAATAAATAACAAGCCATTTTAAGGTATAAGATCATCGGTAGAAACCCTTTTGGGTCTTTAAAGCAATTTTTAATGGGTTTTTAAAGCAATTTTTAATTATTATCTGAGTAAAAAGGTGAATAAGAAACTGTGTTAAAATTTAGATATTTGGGGCGGACATTGTTGAAACCGTTTTGGGTTTCTATAAAAAAATAAAAAAATGGGAGAAATGAAAAAAGCAAAACAAACTCATTTCTCTCCAATTTTTTTTAACCAATCCCAAGCCTTCATGTGTTTTTAGGAGACGCAAATATCCCCAATTAAGAAACGTTTTTACTAATTCTCTCTTCAAATTTATTTTTAAAATATTAAGTTTTTACTAAAAACACCCTTAAAGACCCGATAATAATGCTCTAACTTCTCTAGTTCTAGGCTTCTAGCGATGATAGAACCCCATAACTCTAAATGTTCAATAAGCCGAAATTAACAACTCCTCGTACTTAAATATTTTGTCAAGCTTGCATCGGATCCACATATCGTCTTATTTGGCTCTCCAGATTCGTTTCAGAAATACCCCCCAAATACAAATTTGTTTCTCGAATTACCATCCGTTTGCGTTTAGATTAATCAAAAAATCATAATATCAATTCTTTACACGAAATATTTTTGTCCGGAAATAGCAAATCGGAGATGTTACACGACGTAGCATGTGTGGCAGTGTGGGTGAACAAACTACTCTATAATGGAAATAACTTGTTTTTCCATTTTTTATTTGTAAAAAGTAGAAACAAAGAGAATAACAATTTAGTACTTAGTACTTGCCAAAGTGGATTGCTCCAGGCTCCAGCCCTTTGGGTTGGTCCGTTTGACTATACAACCACAGTTTAAAAAAAAAAGAATCTGCGATTTAATTTTCTTTTAACAGTTTTCACTCGTGGATTGTCCCGATTATTTTTGCTGTGTTTTTTATTTATTTATTTAACTATTATTTCAATGTACCAAATAAACGAAATGAATAACTTATTATGATTTCAGTTTTTTTTACATCTTTCTAAACAGATTAAACTTGGCATTAATGAAATAGATTTACTCTAGCGATTCTAAAATGAGTAGAAGTATTTTTTTTTAAAAAAAAAACAAAGGATGATTGCTTTATTTTATTTAGAGGAAAATCCATAAACATTCTAAACACTTATCAAGTACATCATATTCTTGATTATACAGTCACACACTCTCATGTGAGTACTCGTATATATGTTTTATATAAAGCATAAATGTGCGGCTCAAGGCGGTGCAACCTCCAACGGTCGAATATTTTCACACTAAGGACAGATTGTAGAGTCAAGATTTAATAAGATTTAATAACTCGAGCCACCGACTCACCTATATATTGCATAATGAAGATCTTCTGTGATTATACATATTTTTACCAATCTATGCCGAGTGACATATTTGGAAATGCGAATTATATTTTTTGCTTATAAAATATCGAAAACTAATCTTCAAATAATCGATTGAACCTAATTTAAATCAAAACTAGTATAAATAGATTACACAATTCGAAGAAAAATGATAGGGAATACTGAATTTATGCTGAACACCAAAAAAGTATGTCAGCCGAATTACATAATCTTAAGATTCTACGAAATATTGGATGCTACTGAATCAACTCAATACATAGCGAACCAAGTCGTTCTCATAGAATAAATATAATTCGAAATGTGGCCCTAGACTTTACTGTTTGAGGATATGACATAGTTATGATATATATAAATAGATATACCCAGATGTATCTATATAAAGATATATCCCTATGATATAACCCACTGAATTAATATTACGGCCTTCTATCTGGTGAGCTGCTGAGCTACCTTATTTTATGTGACCAACATAATCACTAAGATTGAAAAGAAGACCGCTTTTTATATTTCCTCATATATACAGACATTTCTTTTAAAAAATTATCTGTCTGATTCACAATTTCATATGTAACGTAAGATCATTTGATTATTTTGGATAATTTTCAAGAGTTTCATTTAGCTACAATACTAATGGAATAATAATTAAATACATTTCAAATTATAAAAATGAGAAGTATCACAAACCCAAAAAAAAAAAAGTTGGAAGGTCATAAGGAGAAGAGAATGAGGGTTGTTTTTGTTACAAAATATACTTTTAAGGATATATTTTTATCTCATCTCGTGGTGGGGGCTGGATTAAAAAACAAATATGTATAAGCCCATTTTGGTAATTTCAGTAATCACTATTGCATTTAAAACGGAACGTTCCCTCTCTCTCTCTCTCCTTCCACATTCAATTTTGCGCTCTGCTTCCTTATTAAAGGAAAGAAAGAAGTGTCAAATTAAACGAGACAGTGAGACTCGGAAGATGTCGCCGGAGAAGAAGAGTCGAAACTTTCCTCCGATAACGGAATGCGGAGGCGGAGATCATGGTTCGATCGCCGCCGATCTGGACGGGACTCTGCTTCTGTCGAGAAGCTCCTTCCCTTACTTCATGCTTGTCGCAGTTGAAGCCGGAAGCCTTTTCCGTGGCTTAGTCCTCCTTCTCTCGTTACCGATTGTCATTATCTCTTACATATTAGTCTCGGAATCTATGGGGATCCAAATCCTCATCTTCATCTCCTTCGCCGGTCTCAAGTTCCGCGACATCGAGCTCGTCTCTCGCGCCGTTCTTCCACGGTACCGACTCCATTATCTCCTCCGCTAGTACATTGCTTCCAATGTCTGGATTACTCTGTTTTGCAGGTGAACTCTGTTTCGATTCGATTTTAGATTACTCTGTTTCTCTAAATTTTGGTGGTGGGAGTTTGATTAGGTTTTATGCGGCGGACGTGAGGAAAGACAGTTTCGAGGTGTTTGAAAAGTGTAAGAGGAAAGTGGTGGTGACGGCGAATCCGACAGTGATGGTGGAAGCGTTTGTGAAGGATTATCTCGGAGGAGATAAAGTTCTTGGAACGGAGATTGAGGTTAATCCCAAGACCAAAAGAGCCACCGGATTTGTCAAGAATCCTGGTGTTCTTGTTGGTGACCTTAAGAGATTAGCCATTTCGAAAGAGTTTGGAGACGATGGATCACCCGATCTCGGCATCGGTGATCGAACCTCCGATCACGATTTCATGTCTATTTGCAAGGTATTAATTACTCAAATTTCCATTTGTGGATTTAAACCGATGATTATAGTGCCATCATATGATATAACGTTTTCGCACTTGAACCCAAGATTATTTATCCCAATGGTACGTTCAGGGGCAGAATTTTTTCAAAAAATTTGTAGTGAAAGACAACTATTCAAGGTAGCTTGACAACTTAACCCTAGTGTGTTTTATTCTCTTAGCTTTGCTTAATTTCCTGTCGTGTATTTATCATTAATAATTAAGCCAACTACCTGCTTAAGCTTGTTTGACTGGTTTAATGTCAAAATGTCAATGCGTGAATCATCAGTAAGTAAAGGTTCATAAATGTTTATCACCTCACGGGCCCCCTCGCTTGTTTTTTTCTTCTTCCCACCCAACCATCTACTAGTACCCACCCACATTTTGGGCAGTCCATTTAATGATTAAATATTTCAATAAACAATCTTTTTTGGAAACACACAAAAATCTTAGTTAAATCATGGTTAGACAATTCAGCGACATGTTAGCACATTTAATGAATAACGTTTGATTGATTCACATTGTTTTTGGGGTAATTCAACAGAAAGGTTACATGGTTCATGCGAGCAAGTCAGCCACGACAATTCCAAAAGAACGTCTAAAGAACCGAATAATCTTCCACGACGGCCGTTTGGTCCAGCGTCCAACGCCGTTAAACGCCATTATCACTTACCTCTGGCTTCCATTTGGCTTCATCCTCTCAATCATCCGCGTCTACTTCAACCTCCCTTTACCCGAAAGATTCGTCCGTTACACTTACGAGATGCTCGGAATACAGCTAACCATCCGTGGCCACCGTCCTCCTCCTCCTTCCCCCGGAACTCCCGGTAACCTCTACGTTCTCAACCACCGCACTGCACTTGATCCCATCATCGTAGCCATTGCTCTCAGACGCAAGATCTCTTGCGTCACTTACAGTGTCTCTCGTCTCTCCTTAATGCTTTCTCCTATTCCTGCTGTCGCTCTCACCCGTGACCGTGCCGCTGACGCTACCCGCATGAGAAAACTTCTCGAGAAAGGTAACGCATCTTCTCATGATAAATTAATTATCAGCTCGTCCAAACATATATAAAAGTGTACTTGAAAGCTTTTTGATATATATATATATATATATATATATATATATGTTAACAGGGGACTTGGTGATATGTCCGGAAGGCACGACGTGCAGAGAAGAGTATCTACTGAGATTCAGCGCCTTATTCGCAGAGCTCAGCGACAGAATCGTGCCGGTGGCGATGAACTGTAAACAAGGAATGTTCAACGGAACTACGGTGAGGGGTGTCAAGTTTTGGGACCCTTACTTCTTCTTCATGAACCCAAGACCTAGGTACGAGGCCACTTTCTTGGATCGCTTGCCTGAAGAAATGACTGTGAGAGGCGGCGGTAAGACGCCTTTCGATGTGGCTAATTACGTCCAGAAAGTGATCGGCGACGTGTTGGGCTTCGAATGCACCCAACTTACTCGCAAGGATAAGTATCTTTTGCTCGGAGGTAATGACGGTAAGGTGGAGTCTATCAACAAAAAGTGAACAGAACCAAAGTGGCTTCTTTCTTCTTAATTACCATCCCACTTTGGAGTTACTTTAGCTCATATATATACGTGCTAGTGATATATAAACTCTGGAGCTATATTGCATGTCATCATAATGGTTGATTGGTTGGAGAATGGAACGGTTTTATTTGAAGATGAACTGGTTATTATATTTCAAATTTTTTTTTTTTAATTGTCTTTTCAGTTTTTCAATGTAGAACTCTTATTTTCCTAAGCTGTAGTATTTTGCGATGCCAGTTTTGTAATTTGTATACGGATGTGTTTCATTAGAGGTTTAAATATATATAAAAAAAGCATACTTTATGCGGACATCCAGTTAAAATTCATGACTAAAAATAGTAAAATAAATTGGGACAGAGTTCTTCATTTAAGCCCGTCAAAGTACATGCAGCATAATGGATTCGTAGGCCCAACAAAAGCCCAGATGTTACGTGTCAGAATATGTTCCTCGACTACATAGCAGCTTTTTGTTTGGTCTAACAACTTTCTAAGGTGAGGTCATCTTCGGCGGTAACGGCTCAGATATTTTCCACCCAATTCCCAATAATAGCCCTACTTCCTTCGTGCTAATTACCAGTCAGCCTGGGGTATTTTCTCATTGCGACATAGGGGGTACATCCGTAAATTAAGGACCAACTTCCAACGAGTAGAAGATGATGCGCCACGTGTCACCTTCTCGACCCCCCTTTTCCTCTTCTTCCCCATATGGCCACTAGGGATTTTCCCGCTTCGTTGCATAAGGCAGTGCCGAAGCCTCTCACTCTCTCTCTCGGTTTTATCCGAAGATTATTCGGATACTTCCTCTTCGTTTACTCCGCTCCTCTTCTTCTATGGAATAAGCTTGAAGATTGTCCTTTCTTCTTCCGTCCACCTTTTGTTCTGAAAAGCAAGCAGCAGCATGGCTATCGGTGGCTTGATTTCAAACAGGAACTTCGGTTGCTTCATCGGCTCCGGTATCTCGCTTTTCTTTTGATTCTTCTCTTCTTTAGCTCGAGATTGCCAATTCCCTGATAGTGCATTTAGCGAATCATTCGCGTATTTGTCGTTATTTTCACGTCCATCACAGCCATTGGTGAATTTCTCTGGGCATCATCGTGTTTAGGCTGGATGTACTGAATTTAGCCAATTTTAGGGTTGTTTATCGGATTATGTTAATGGATTAAAGTGTAGCAAGTTTGGTAGTTAACGACATCAGAGCTGGGTTTTTGTATAGTGATTATGATTGACGTGTGTCATGCTTTGGATTCAGTAAATTTCTCGTCTCTCTGTACTACAGGAGTGAAGAATTCCACTTCACCTTTATCTCCAAATGAATATACTCAACTGTTCTAGTGTTCTGGAACACTCGCAATGAATTCTGTCCTACTTTGGTATTAAAATCCTTAGTGTTTTGAAATCCCAAATTTTTCCTAATGTTGTCAGGCAATGGTTTTCAGAACGAAAGAGGTATTTTGTACCAGAGACTAGGAATCAATGGTTCGGAGCTCTGTAATAGAAAATCAAATGGTATTATCCCATCTTTGATGCCTCTCCAGCTTTATTAAAAAATTATGCTAAAGCATTTTCTTATTTGCATATAGCATTGTGCCGTAATCATCAACCACGAAAGATTTTACCTCTGCAAGCTACTTTACAGCATGAACTGGGACACAGGAGAGGTTTTAAATGTTTCCTTCAACCAGGAATGGACAGTAGAATTAGGTTTAGGAACAATATCAAGGATTATGGAATTAGCAAGATAAACAGATCTCGTGCTTACTACAAATCAGAGGAGTCCGATATTACAGAAGGAGTTGTAGACTCACTGCCCTCAGCGGATGGGTCAGCTGAAGCCGTTTTAGCCCAAGGAAATCTCCCATGGTGGCAGCAGTTTCCTAGACGCTGGGTGATTGTGCTCTTATGCTTTGCATCATTTCTTCTATGCAACATGGACCGTGTGAGTATATGTTGCTTATTTTTGTTCAATAAACATTAACGTCATATTTTTCCTACTGCTTGTTTACTTAATAAGATGCTTGTGGCAGGTGAACATGAGCATTGCAATTCTTCCCATGTCACAAGAATATAACTGGAACAGTGCAACTGTTGGCTTAATTCAGTCCTCTTTCTTCTGGGGCTATTTACTTACTCAGGTCTAATTCAAATAGGGTGTGATGTTTTTTAGAATTCAAAAGAGAGGGAACATTTATTTGAACTTTAGCCTGAACCGTGCTCATCTTCTCTTGACTATAGATTCTGGGAGGCATATGGGCAGATAAGTTTGGCGGCAAGGTGGTTTTAGGTTTTGGTGTTGTCTGGTGGTCCATTGCCACGATTATGACACCTATTGCTGCGAGACTCGGTCTCCCCTTTTTGCTTGTCGTGCGGGCATTCATGGGCATTGGCGAGGTTGGCCTCTTCTGTAATTTCTCTTCTCTTCCCTATACTTGTCGCAGACCTGTACAACTTCTCACTGCTAGATACTGTCTACCTTTGCTCCAGGGTGTTGCTATGCCTGCTATGAACAACATGCTTTCTAAATGGATCCCTGTCTCAGAAAGAAGCAGATCGCTTGCACTAGTCTATAGTGGCATGTATCTCGGTTCTGTTACAGGATTGGCGTTCTCTCCTATGCTAATCCACAAATTCGGATGGCCATCTGTTTTCTATTCGTTTGGCTCCCTTGGAAGTATATGGTTTCTGCTATGGCTAAAATATGTATGAACCATTCTCCATGACATGAGCCAAGATTCTGATATCTACAAAACCACCAAAATATTTATCTTTCAAACACTTGTTTTGTCTCCTCTCAGGCATATAGCTCTCCCAAGGATGACCCCGAGCTAAGTGAAGAAGAAAAGAAGGTCATACTCGGAGGTAGCAAACCACGGGAACCTGTTACAGTCATTCCATGGAAGCTGATACTGTCTAAACCCCCTGTCTGGGCTCTCATAATTTCCCATTTCTGCCATAATTGGGGAACATTCATACTATTGACATGGATGCCCACATATTACAACCAGGTATTGAGTTCAACCTCACTTATTTCCCTACGGTTAAATATTCTTGCAAACAAGTAAAAAGATTCATGTCTGTTGTTTGTCTCTGATCACATTGCAGGTCTTAAAGTTCAACCTCACTGAATCTGGGCTCCTATGCGTGTTGCCGTGGTTTACTATGGCTGTATTCGCTAATATTGGTGGTTGGATTGCTGATACCCTCGTGAGCAGAGGACTTTCAATTACAGCCGTTCGGAAGGCAAGGAATACAATCTTTCTAAATAACATTTTCTCATCACAATTTCTGCTGATAAAAGTCTTCAAATGTGGCAGATCATGCAATCAATTGGTTTTCTGGGTCCTGCCTTCTTCCTGACTCAGCTAAGCCGTGTCAAAACTCCAGCAATGGCGGTTCTCTGCATGGCATGCAGTCAGGTATGGCATCATATGATTAAAAGGATTCAGAATAGAGTTATGACATATTATTGAGCTCGGAGCTGTTGAGAACATGATGCTATTTTTGACTTATACACCTGCCGACACAAGATTATTCTTCTGAAGAGTACAACTATGTAATAGAACATAAATTAAATGCAATCTCTGACAGTTGTCTCACTTAGAACCATGCATGAGTTATGTCCAGCTCTGAGATTAAGACTCATGTTGTCCCCAACAGGGCTCTGATGCATTCTCACAGTCGGGTCTCTACTCTAATCATCAAGACATTGGCCCACGCTACGCTGTGAGATGACATAAAGTTTCTCCTTTAATACTTTTGTCACCAAACATCTTTAAAGTTGAAAATGATTTGTTTCAATAACTACGTTGACGCTGATCGCAGGGTGTACTCTTAGGACTTTCGAACACAGCAGGAGTCCTCGCTGGTGTCTTTGGCACTGCAGCTACTGGCTACATCCTCCAACGAGGTCTCTTTATATTATATGATTCACATTCTTCTTCCCATTTACCTGAGAATTCACGTGGTGCATTGAATATGATATTCACCCATGGAATTACTTACTAATCAACAACTTCATTTTTGACCTCAATCTATATAGGTTCATGGGACGACGTGTTCAAAGTAGCAGTTGCGTTGTATTTGATTGGAACTCTGGTCTGGAACTTGTTCGCAACCGGAGAGAAAGTTCTCGACTAGCGCCTTAACGAGCAAAGTAGTCAATAGCTGCAGTGAAATGGTTTGAGGAAAGCATTATATCTTCTTCTTCTTCTTCTTTTTTCCTGCTTTGAAATTGATCTGATTGTGAGATCAAAATGGGGAATGGTTCCTAAGGGAACAAGTTAAAGAATGTAATTTTTATTTATTGTTTGGGGACTCTTTTAAAGCTTACAATTTGATGGGGATAATTATCAAAATGTAAAGCTTACAATAGAGAAAAACAACCAAACTATTAGAGTATTTTTTTTACATCACACAACCAAACCAATTTTTATACTTTAACCCAAACAATCACAAAACCCAAACGAAACTGTATGTATTATAAAAACATTATTATAAACCCGAAAAGCTGTGACGCGACGTCTACACCGCAACGCCGGCGACGACATCGCCAATAATGCCGTTGCATTTACCGTTAAGAGCAGCGCCGTTGCATTTACCGTTAAGAGCAGCGACGACGTCGTTTCTCTCCTTCGCTATGAGGCTCTTCAAGATCCCTTCCAAATCCCTCTTGTGCACGTTTACCAGAAGTCCGTTCTTCATGAACAATGTCAGCGACATCTTCTGCTCCACTTTGTGCCCCGGCGCCACCGTCAGTCTGTGCCGGAGTAAAACCGCCGCCGCTATCGTTTTCATCTGGAGATACGCTAGATCCTTCCCCAGACAGATCCTTGGTCCGGCGTTGAAAGCCACGAATCGGTACTGATCGTGATTCACGAATTTCCCGTCGTCCGGTGAGATCCACCTCTCCGGCTTAAATTCCAGGCAATCCTCTCCCCACGTCGTCTTCATCCTCCCGGCCGCGTAGATCGAATAAGTCACCGACGATCCCGCCGGTACGAAGGTTCCGTCCGGCAGAATATCATCGTTCACAACGTGCTTCGAGTCCTCCGGCACCGATGGGTAAAGCCTGAGCGTCTCGGAGAGCGCCGCCTTCAAGTAAACCAGTCGATCCACCTCATCGAATCCCAACGGCTCCTCCGTCCACGACGAGATGTCAGTTCCACGTGTCTCGATCAGAACGGAGCATATCTCGCGTACGATCTTATCCTCGACCGTTGGATGCGTCGTGACGAGCCAGAAGAACCAACTCAGCGCTACTGATGACGTGTCACGTCCAGCTAGGATGAAATTAAGCGCCACGTGTCGAAGGAACGCCTCGCTGTAAGACTGATCTTTCTTCTTCATGAAACGGGAGAGGAGGTCGTCGTGTCCCTGGACCCCACTCTCTTGCTGACTCAGCAGTTCTTGCTTACGTGTATTAATGACAGCATCCAAATATCCATCGATCTCGCCCAAGCTCCGGCTCAAGCTGACCTCTAAGCCGAGCCCAAGCCATTTCTTGAGCCTCCACAGGAACTCTGGCAGGATAAACCGCTGGAGAGAAGCTTCGGTGGCTCGGTCGAAAGCCGAGGCGAATCCGTTCTCGGGAAGTCCTGGGGCACAGGTTCGAGTGTCCTTCCCGAACGCTAAACCGCAAATGTTGTCGAATGTGAGCCGTAGTACCAAGTCTTGGAGATCGACCGGCTCGCATTTGGTCTGAGCCGTTTCAAGAATCGGACAGAACCGGAGCTTAATTCCCCGGTTTACCCACCTACCCATGGCTTGCCTCAGCGTCCTGGTTAAAAAAAAAATGCCAAATGCAATTCTTTCAGCCAAACAATTCACAAATATTGAACCTAATCCAGCAAGTAAACCGGATAATTGAAATATGCCACAAAAAAAAAAAACTTAAGCCATTTTGCTTCAATTAGTGTGTGATTAAATAAATATACTCAATTGCTTGTTATCTTTTGCACACATGCATGAATTATGCATTAATAATAAAGATTAAAACAGTCCGGTTAATTAAGCTTGTATACCTGGTGGTGAATTCAAGAGCGGCGGTTTTGCGCTGGAAAAGCCAGGTGTCACCGTCGGAGTTAAAGATGCCTTGGCCGAGGAAGTCATGGAAAACAGCTTGCCACGTAGGACCTTTAGGGTAGTTATCGAAGCGGGTCTTGAGCATGTGTTCAATGTTCTTGGGGTCGCACGTGACCGTCACGAGACCTTGCTTCTTCGCCAAGAAAGGCACGGCGCAGATACATGTCTGATACGTGCCGCCACACGCACGGAGGTTCTCAGTGATCCAGTCGTGCATACGGTCACGCTGCTCGATCAGGCCCGGGAGACTTCCCAATACCGGCCAGACACGTGGCCCTTTTAGCCACCGTGAGATCCGCTTAAACCATAGCCAGTAAGCTGCAACAATCGCTACTAGCAGCATCGCATTGGATACATCCATACCTGAGCTAGGTGAATATATATATCCTTTAATAAAAAATTTCTCTCTCGAAATAGTAATGGGAGATTAATGTGAACGAATGTGGAATGGAATTGGAATGGTTATAATTTTCTGGAAAATGATAAAATTTTCCAAGAAAGTTAAAGAATTTGAATGGTGTTTCCAAAACTGGTGTTTGAGCCAAATCAAGGTTTAGTTGAAAAGGATATGGTTTTCTTGGGAAAATTTATAGAGAGAGAGATAGAGAAGATGACATTAAGAAGGAAAAACAAGTGGAGGAAAAAAAACTGTTACTGCTAGCCATCCGAAGCAGCAACCCTCATTAATGTAGACTGTTGAGAGAGTGTATACTAATTGAATGGGATTGAAAATTTGCCAAGTCTCTCTATCTGTGAAAAAACTCGTTTTGGTTAATGGTTTGTAGATAAACTAAAGCCTGTTCAGATTTTGAAGTCAAAGGAATTAGCAAAGGTGTGATAGTATATAGGAGAGGGGCAAGGGGAATAAGACTAGTCTCATTTAATGATGAATCCATTAAATGACATACACTTAATAATTTATATATACATACATTATATGTCTATCTTCTATCTTTGTGTGTAATATTATATTATACATATATATTGTGTGTTTGGGTGTGTCTCTGTGTGCTAGATTAAATGAGATTAGTTGAGAACCTAAGGCACAGAAAAAGATGGATGAGATCATGAGAATAAGAAGAAGTAGTAGAAAGAACAAAGGAATCTTTTTATCTTTTTGTTAATTCACATTTAATAAGGGTAAGAAGAGTTCAACACATGTATGGTTAGGTAATGACATTAGGGTTTGCATGATATAATTAATATATGTGGTTAGATCGTGTACTCGTACACAATTTAGGTCTGACTTTACAAGTGATCGTAAACCAATGATCACGTTTTTGTTGAAATCTGATAATCTTTTTATCCCTGATTAATTTGATTTAGTTTAGGTTATAATAGAGAAAAAGAGACGTGATTTTTAATCTTCTCGTTTTGGTTTATCAGCTTTTTTATTTCCGGGATTTGGTAAGCAACTCGTGACTCTTGTATCTAATTTGCTTCTTTTTCCTTTTGTTGCATGGTAAAGAAATTTAAAAGAGTAAATTGGTTAACCACTTAACCCCACAAGAAATAAATACATTTTCTTGTGTATTTGTGTGTACCTTTTAGCCTACCCGAATACATTTTTGCTTTTCTCTTTTAAGCTTTTTTTTTTATATCACAAAATTACCTTTCTAGCACTCCAACAAAAATTTGGAATATCAAAAAAAATTTCCAAATGATGAATTATGTGCATGCACAAATCTCAAGTAAGATTAGATGTCATTGCATTCATGAGATTTGAAAGTCAAAGGGAGCTGACTTGTGTACTCTGACTATCATAAATACATATAATAATGTATGTGACATATATATGTCTCACATATATAGTATAGTACTATATACATATTAGGCAAATAGGCAACCATAAATCATCACACAGACACACACATAGCAATTGCATCATCAAATATAAACCTGTAAAGGGGCTGAATGCGAAGACCTTGTGATAGAGTTCCCCTTTTTACCTATTCGTATTATACAAAGATGAAATATATATATGTATGTATACACACATACACATCTCTTAGTTTAAAACTGTAAATTGTTAAACTTAATTTACATATTACTAAAGAAATAAGTTTAAGTACTCCATTGAGTTGAGATATAATTTTTGTAAATATTTCTTAGCTTTCGTGTTCATAGTATCTAGAGGCTTGGATTCTACATTCTAATAAGATGTTTTTTTTCCGCGGTCTTCTAAACTGTATGTTGCAAGAAACCACATTTGATTTTTTTGTTTTCCATACACTGACTCGTAATTTTCGAGAAAAAGAACATGCGTGCAAGTGTAACAAAATGGAACACAACTGACAACTGTAGATTTCAGATAACGAGTAGATGGCTTGCCAACTTCAATTTGCAAAATGCATTTATAGCTCTTAGTTGACTCTTTTTTTTTTTTTTATTAAGCGAGACAACTCAGATGAGGCGTAAAATAGGCAACTATTCCAATAATTCTTTTCTACTAGTGTAAATTATATATACAATGATGAAATCATGATTATGCATTTAATTTTTCAGTGCTAAATTGCCTCCCAACTGATTTTGCAAAAGCATTAACTATCGTAGTTGACTTTGTTTTTAATATGACAAAATTACATAAACCGAAATGGAAACTGAAGAAACACTGCGAGACGAAATATAGAACCATTAGTTAAATGAAAAAATAACGTACTTTTGTTTCTACTTTTTAAAAATATTTAAAACTTTTAGGTTGTATCGAACTTCTTGAGTTCAAATTCTGGTTGTGAGGACGTGCTTGAACATTTTCAAAAATTTTGAGTCTATTTTTAGTGATATTTTTAAATTTTCCTATCTCTTTATTGATTCTCTCACTAGTATTTTTGCCTTTAAAATTAGTCGCACACGTCCATATTAAAAAACAAGTAAAAACAAATATAATTACATCCTCCGTTTCATAACAAGTGTCATTCTGACATATTTCACACATATTAAGAAATTAATAAAATATACAAATATATCCCTAGTTAATATATTTTTATAACAATTAATTACAAATAGTATTATCTTTAAATGAGGGATAAAACAGGAAATAAGAATTAAAAGTTACATTAAAAATGCAGAATGACATTCTTTTTAAAACAAAAAATGAAATCTAAAACCACATTTATTATGAAACGGAGGGAGTACTTCTTATCAAAAACAACCCATATACTATAATAATCATGGAATCTTGTATATTCAAAATGTGATAAGTTCAGAACTAACATTATACGATTACAAATAAAAGAATCTTAGAGAAATATAAATAAATTATATTTAAATCGAATTATATTTTTTTAAAGATTATTTTGACAACAAAAAATGACTTGGTAAATTTAATCGAGCAGAATAAAAACTACTCCATAACTTTCAAACAAAATATGACATCTATTCTATTAAAACAGAAGCACATTTATTGCTTGCATCCAAACACTCCCAAAGTTTTTTTATAATATTTTATTTTATTTTTATATTTAATTTTCGAAAATTAGTTATTAATTTAGATATTTTTAGATTTCCTAAAATCTAGGTCATCTTTCATTTAAATTTCAAATTATTAGAAATTTAATTAAATTTAGTTACAAAATTTGCATTAAATTTAATTTAAATTCAAAAAATTCAAAAAAAATTATAATTAAATTTTATTACGAAAATTTAGATAATAATTTTAATACTTTTGAATTTCTTAAATACAGGAAAATTTTAATTTAAAATTTTAATTTTAAATAATATTTTTATAAAAATGCATAGTAAATAAATATTTTATCGTATTTTATCATAAACAATCGGTGTAAAATATCAAATATTTGAGATTAATAAATATTTATATTATACAATAATATGATCGAGCTGATTAGAGTTATATATATATATATATATATAAGGTCAGAGTTAATTTATTAAAATATGTAAGATATTAAGATGATTTGAGACAATTAAACTAACAGGTTAGCCCGTTTTTTTTTAATAGCACAAATAGTAAATAAATATCTTATTATATTTTTTCATAACCAATTGGTCCAAATATTCCATATTAGTAAATATTTATAAGGTTATACAATTATAATTATAGTCTTATACGGATTAGTTTGTCAAAACATGTAAGATATTCAAAATGATTTAATACAACTAAACGGATGGATTAGCAAATTCATAGATATATAGATTGTTTATGTGTAAATCTAAATTCACATAATAGCAAAATTTATAATTAACATTAGATCAATGTATACTTAATTAACTTATACTCTTATTCTACTAATATACAAATTTTACTGTTTAAAATTAAAATATAATAACATTTTTTTGATTTTAAAAAATAAATAACAAAAATAAATTATATCTAAACAAAAAAGATAAATGCAACTTATATTAGAAATAAAAAATAAAACATTTCCGTGCGGACGCACGGGATTAAAACTAGTCTATTATATTAAAACAGAAGCACATTTAGTACTTTCTTCCAAACACTCTTAATATTTTTTTAAATGTTTAAAAATAATTTTAATAATTATTTATATTTAATTTCTAAAATTAGTTATTAATTTAAATACTTTTAGAGTTCCTTAAATATAGGTAATTTAGATTTGATTTGATTTGATTAAAAATAATAAATCAGAGATTAATTTAGATTTGATTTAAAGATTCTAATTTAAATAATTTCTATACTATTAAACATTTTTGTCAAAAAATATCTAGAATTTTTGAAAAAAAAAATTCACATATGAAAAATAATGGTCATATTTGAAATATATAATATTTATAATGATGTAAATGATATAATATTTATGTTTTTTATATAATATATTTACGATTATGATTTATTTACAAATTAATAATAAAATAATAGATAAAATTCAAATGTATAATTTAAATATCAAAAATATATTTTTTAAAATTTATAAAACTAAAAATATATATAAAAAACCAGGTTAAAAATATTTTGGTAACTAATATCACTAATTTTGAATTATACATATATATCGAAAATATATTTTTCATACAAAATCAAAACATAAAAAATTCAAAAATTATTGCATACAATATAATGTGGTTTGAAAAACCAGTTGTACACTCCATTCGTTGATTAAATTTTAGAAAACTATAATGCTAAATAATACTGTTAATACATCTCAAACTTTTAACAAATATTTATATTATACGGTAATATGAACGGAAAATTAGAATTATGTTTTTATAATAGTTCATTTTGAATTAATATTAGCAGACGGGTTAAAATTATATTTTTATAATCATAATTAATTTTAATACTATAAAAATATATCTAAACACAAAAATCAATATTTTCACTTATTAAAAATATATTTATAAAAATAATTATATCTAAACTTAAAAACACAGATTATATTACAAAATTCGTTAAACATTAAAAAATATTCCCGTGCGGATGTACAGGGTTATTAAAACACGAAATTAGGCAAAATAAGAGAAATGTAAAGAGAAACATAGAAAATGGGCCGAATAAAAAAAAAAAGACAAATGGAATGATAAACATAGAAAAACGGAAAGATAAATAAATAAAAAAGTCGTTTCTTTTGTTGTTTTCACAAATCTCTAACCAAACCAAAGTTTGACGCATGAACCAACCAAACTAACCGGTTCGTAGGATTCTATCGAGTTATCCGGTTTTAGGTGAATCAGAAATGTGTGTATACCACAAGAACCAGGCCGCTAGCTAGCTAGCTAGATCTCCGACATTGTGTCATCGATGTATAAGCACCGAAATCAGATCCTTAAATAAAAAAGCAAAGCATACACTTCAGATACCGAAAGCCATATGTACACACAAACCATACCCATAAACTCTGACCGAAAACATTCAAACACCAGAGTCGCTTAAAGACTACATACTCTTTTACTGTTTTGTTTTTTCTTTTTATCGTCATCATCAAAGCAAATCCACCTTCTTTTTCTCGTCTTAGTTTTAACTGTCGTTTTGGGAACTGACCCGGATGAATGAATCCCGTCGCTGTTCCCCGACAAATGCTTGTTTCAGTCGAGAGATCGGTCCTATCAATTTTCCAGCTTTCTGCAACCAAAAATTGTGTTCAAAACAATATGACTGTTTACAAGTCTTAGGTCGCTAACACAGAGATGCATTATTGATTAGATACATCGTATATGTGTTTCTCAAGACCATGGCATAGAAAATAAAAACAAAAATAAAAGAAGAGAGATGCAAAATGAAGTCTATACCTCATTTCCAATGCTTGTTTCCCACTTGAGCTGCAAAACCTGCCACCTCTCTTGTTGCCATCGTTGGCCAAGGATCACAATTCCCATTACAGCTGCAGCTATGAGAACCGACCAGACTGTGTTTGCTTCTTTCGCTTGTGAAATCAAAGACGCGGCGCTTCTTTTCCACCAGGCTTCACAAGGTGGGACGTTTGCTACTTGATGCTTCTCATCTTTAGTAGGATTCAAATCAGGTGAAACATGATCTGGAACTACACATGGAGTGACTGGCTCACTCGTTGGTTCATGAACAGGCTCGTTCTGTTCGTAGACATGTGATCCACCAATAGCTCTTTCATCGTGCAGAGAACTCAATGCCGCCTTGTAAATGTTTTCTTCTCTTTTGTCTTTCTCCTCGAAAAACTCAAGCCCTCCAAAGTCATCTGATAAATCCAACCCTTTCAGCGTCAAATCTCCATCTTCCTTTCCGCGAGACCCGGTTTCTTGTTCCATAGAGAACCCAAAATCCATCTTCTTGCTTGCCTTACCTTCGTAGATCTCGCTAGGTTCCGTGGCTATGTTCTCATGCTCGGTTGGCGGGAAAACAAAGTGGCGAGACATGTATAAAGGATGAGATGTCTCTGCTTCGTAACGAGTAGCATCCTTGTCATCATCTTTCAGTTCCACTTGTTTCGGACCACCGGGAGCAGCAGCATAAGCTGAAGCTGTAAGTGAAACAACTTCCCAATCACTTCCACGTGTCGTGTTCTCACCTGATGCTTCCTCTTTGTCAGCCATTGTCGTCGTTTGTAGATATTATTAAAACTACAAAAAAGCTGAGTAGCAGAGAAACAAGTGTCAGAAAGTCGCACGACTAATCTAGCTCTGATCCAACAAGGAAACTTCGATATATGATGATGCTATTATGAGCACGAAAAGCTATGTTTATTTCTAACATACAAGCAGATAGATACTTATCGAAATAAGCTAAGCAACAATGATGTCTATAATTTTGTGAAAAAAGTTATGAATAATATACCGCAGAGAAGATAAAAGCTATTCATCCGATTCGATTTTCAGAAATCAGGAACCATATATATCGAACAAAACCCGATCAAACATGGAAATTAAATTTCAGATGATCAAGAATCAACTGGAAAACCGTCCAATCAAGCAACATATATTCCAACAAAATCGGTACTCATACACTAAATCAATCGAAACCCCAGAGTAAACTAAAGGAATCGATCGAAACAGCAACGAAGAAAACAGATTGAACAAGAAGCGATCGTTGACGGAGAAAATTCGAGGAAGACGAAAGAATCGGTTAAACTCACACAGTCAAAAGATAAAATCGAGAGATGAGATCTGAAGCGATAAGATCAATTATGGAGGAGCCAACGACAAAAATTACGCGCCGACGACGAAGACGAAATTGATGTGATTGGAACCCAAAAAAATCGCCTCGGTAACTCTGCAATCGAAACAAGATTATATTGTGATTTTCCCATTTATTGATTTGTTTTTTTTTTCTTTAAATATGATAAGAATTGTTCTGTGAAGCAAGACGGAACCGGATACTGGGGAGACCGGTTGCATTTACTGCCGAAGACCTCACAGTTTAACCGGCCGTAGTAGGTAATGGTAGGATAGGATTATGACTAGAGCAACAAAATAGAAGAAGAAATGATTGATAGACTGATTTCTGAGTTAGTGAATTGAGATAATTTTGGTTGAGTGAAGTTACAAATGTGCTAAATAAACAGTTATGAGAAATTAAATTTGACATATACAATTTAGCACCAAAAAAAAAAGATATATACAATTAAAAATACATGGGTATATATACAGCCAAACGTAAATTTAGTTACTATTTTTCTAATTTCTCATATCCAGCTCCCCATTGTTTCATCCTCTCCGAAGCTTGTTCGACCTGAATTTTTTGGAGGAAAAAAGGTATAATTTAGATAACGAACATTTAAAACATTTTGTTTTCTTTTCATTACAAGTCAAGACTTCTTTATTCAAATGTGTGATAAAAATTGACATGATGATGTACCTCTTTGTTCCAATTGGTTATGTATATCATGTACAAAAGGATCAAAGTCTGAAGAGTAGTCCCACATATCATACCAATCCAAATTCCCTGAATTTTTTTAAATCATAGAAAGTGAATTCATCAAAACCAAAACTAACCAAATAAAGACCGGTTAGTAGTGATGCTTTACCTGCACGCCAAGTCCTGTTTTATAACCTAGCAAAAACCCTAGAGGCAAACCAATAACGTAGTAACAAAACAAGTTGATATAAGCCACCGGTGCTTGCCATCCTCCTCCCACTGCAACACCTACTCAATCCACAAACAATCTTCATTACCATCAAAAACTTTCAAGATCGAATTCATTCGGTTATTTAAAAATTCGACATAAAATGTAATTAGTTACCAGATATAACCGGTTGTAAACTGTTGAGAATCATCGTTATACCGAGAAGGTAAGCAAGATCAGCTACCGCCTTTCTCATCTCTTCGCTATCCGTAAAAATCACAGCAAAATCGTCTCGTGTTATGAGGATTACAATTGCACACACCACTCCAATGATGAGAGACTCGACCACCGTTACTATCACCGAGTACTTGGCAGCTCGTGGATGTCCCGATCCTAGCTCATTCGACACCCTAACACTGAAGAAACATCGCGTAATTAAACCTATCTTTCTTTTTAAAAAGAAAGAAATAAACTGCTTTCTGTTTTTTTTTTTTTTTTTTAACCTTATAGCTGCATTGATTCCTATGAACAACATTCCTTCCCATCCGTTAATGTTCATACTGAGACAAGAGAAAAGTTTTAAGCAGTGCAGAAAAGTTTTAAGCCTTTGAAATTATACGTGAAAAGGGATCTCTGTTGATTCTAAGGGCTAACCAGATTGAGAGAGATCCAACGGCAATGACAGGGTCTTCAAGATGTCCGGTTAAGACAATGATAGTCATGAAATACCAAATCTCAAGACAAAGCATAACCGCAGACGCAAACGACAGTTTCAAAAACGGCCAAACGTCTTTGAATGCTAACCAAGACAGCCCTTGCCAACCCTCTTTACACCACCCGATTACATAAACAACCTGTGCAATCGCGATTCCCCAAGCCGAGACATCAAACGCAGCCGCTGCGCCGTTTAGTCCCCACTTGAAAACGTTTATAAAGAGGTATAGGATGAAAATGTGAAGGGTCAAGGCGAAGAAACCGATCCAGGCCATGATCCCTACTCTGCTCTGTGCCTGTAGAAACTTCTGAGTCGGGAAATTGATGGCGAGGGCGAACATTTGAGGGATGATCTGCGTAGTGAATTTGCCAGAGATTTCTGCGATTTCGGGTTCTTGGCCGAGTAATATGAGAAGAGGAGTTGCGTAGATGTAGAGTGGAAGCAAAGCAGAAGGAAGTTCCTACGAGGATAAGCCAAGAACGCTGCATATAAACGCCTAACATATCTGTCTGTCCCGCTCCAAACGCTTGTCCACATAGCGTTTCCAAGGCACTTGCCATTCCTAGCTGCAATTTTTCATTGGAGGGTTAATAGAGAAAAAGGCAAAGAAACAGAGGATATGATGGTTAAAATGAATTACCAAGAAACCGAAGGAGAAGTTGGAGACGACGGAGAGAGCGATGGCGACAGCGGAGAGCTCGAGATCGCCTATATGGCCGACGAAGATGCTTGTGAAGGAATTAACTCCGTAATTGCAAAGAATGTTGAAGGCTATTGGAGCAGCGATTTCCCAAAGCTTGGAAGATTCGACCAGACAGACGATTTTAGCATCCTTGAAGCTTTGAACCGGAGGAAAATCGTTGTCTTCGGTGGTCTCTCCGATCAAAGTTGACGGCGCGTGGTGAAGCTTTGTCGTCTCATGCTCTGTTTCGAAGACAGAGACTCTGACGAGAAACGGAGAGGATGGACCACTGTCGATGGCGTCATCAGCTGGTAAGGTGACGGTTTGTGGTGGTTTTCCGGCAGAGGATGAGGATGAGGATTTCCTCTCCTCCGTTACCGGGATTTCCATTTTCTCCGGTTGTGGCAATCTTTATTATTATTATTTTTTTTTCTAGGTGGGGAGGGTTAGACACAAGAAATGAAAGCAATGAGATGACAGAAAATAATTGAAATGGGTTAAGAGATTTACTTTTTTTTTTTTTGTTCTTCTAATTTTCTTTCTGGTGTGCCTGTGATTTAGGTTAGCCGTGGAGAAGATGAATAAGAGAGAATCTCGCATTCCAAAAACAAAAGATGACTGAGAGTATTGTGACCGTTAATATAGTTAAATGTACCGTCACTGGTTTATTTATTGATCATTTGATCCATAAGGAAGTCGTTTTGCGTTATCATTCTCATCGCGCGTAAAGATTCTATAAATATCTACAAATGTGCCATTAGAAGAATATCAACGTGAAAAAATAAAAAAAGGCTCAGTTAAAAAGAATTTGACAAACTAAAGATATAAACATAATTCATGGCATTTACTATAAACGCTCGATTAAGTCAATCAGTAGCCCTGTTAATGGGTCCATTCAAATTGGTGTACAGTGTAAAAGTTTACGTTTGGCAACAATAAACAGAGACTTGACACATTACTGTATCCACTGAACTTTGATAATATGCAAAGGTCATGGAGTCGTGAGTTATTTATATCTTAAAATCCAATTGGTAATGAGGGAATTAAATCTATCACCATGTATACTTCTAAATCTCATCCCCCTTTTTTTATTAACAGGAAATGACAAATTAAGGCTACATTCTCATACAACCAACAACAATTACAGATTAAACTAAGCCCCTAAAAAAACAAACAAACATTTAAGACTGGTTCTTGACAAAACCATCTCAAAACTGATCAGGGGGAAGAAGGTCTACCAAAAGACGACCGTGAGCCAGGGCTAGACAATCCAGTGACGAGATCCGAACAACCACGGCCTTCGCTACAGCTTGTACCGCTCAAACCATGGTCCACTCCTTGGTACGAGTCGCCGGAGACAAGAGCTTGTATCAATTTAGGCGGTGGAGGAACCGTCACCACCACAACTCCTTCAAGCATCTTCACCACCGTTCCCATTGCAGGCCTTATCTCTTCGTTGTCTTGTATGCACCATATCGCCACCGTTGCCATCCTCGTCGCCTCTTCAATGTTATATTCTCCATTGAGTCTAGAGTCGACCACCAAGTCCACATTTCCTTGTATGATTTCACGCGCTGCCCATGGCGGAAAGAACCTGACAATTTATTCACAACGTATCAAATACTTTCTCCATCACAGTTGATTCCAAGTAAAAGACATTGTTTGTTTATAAACAGTACCACTTTTCGGATTCTTTCTCCCCTTTGTCCTCTTTCTCTCCCGGTGTGTCGCTATCGACGATGACATTCCTTCGACCACCGATAAGCTCGAGCAGTGTCATTCCGAAGCTATACACATCCGCTTTAGTGGTGATGGGTAAACCCGATATCCACTCGGGAGCAACGTAGCCCCATGTCCCTCTCATAGTGGCAAGAACCCGGCTGAAGTCACGGCCAACGAGCTTGGCCAATCCGAAGTCAGATACTTTGGCGTTGTAATCGCCGTCCAAGAGAATGTTCTCCGGTTTGATATCACAGTGAATGATACAGTCCCTGCACCCTTCATGCAAATACGCAATCCCTTTCGCAGTTCCTAAGGCGATCCTGAAACGCGATTCCCAGCTTAGCAGTTTGGGACTTGTTCTTGACAAGTAGGAGCTCAACGATCCGTTTGGCATGTAATCGTAGACGAGAAGCCTGTGAAGATTCTCCGAACAGAAACCTCGAAGCCTAACGAGATTGACGTGTTGAATGTTGCCAATGGTGCATACCTCTGCCCTGAACTCTCCCTCACCGCTTCCGGGTCTTTCTAAGCGTTTCACAGCCACGGAGGTGGAAGATTCCGGTAATGTTCCTTTGAAAACAGCGCCAAAGCCGCCGTGTCCGAGCTTCTCCGAGAATCCATCGGTAGCTTTCTGAAGCTCCTTGAAAGAGAAGACCTTTAGATTCAACACAGCGAACCCATCTTCGTCTTCTTTCCTTGTTTTCTTCCTCTTACGATTCCTCCTCAACAGAATCAATGGCACAAAACCTAGAACAGTGATTGACCCAACAACGCTGCACAGTATAATTACGAATTTAGAAATGTTTCCCTTCGAATTCCCTTTTCTCGGATCTCTGATATACAGAATATCGTCGGTGATTCCAGTCCAAGAGCTGGAATTCTTGAGATTTAAGGGCGATTCGAGTAAAATTTTGCAGAGATTGGACTTGTCGTTGTGATAAAACCCCACGCAAGAGCAGTTCCCCAAGCAGCTTCTCGCGCAAGAGCTCTTGCTTACCTGAAACCGCGAAATCTCCACATCGCCGTCGTACCGCAGATCTCCCACCGCCTCAAACGTATCTCTCCCGTCGCAGGAGTCAGCAGATTCACGGAGGCAGCCGTCGCTGAAATCCTCAGATCTCCAAGCGGCGTCGATCTTAGGCCGGAAACCGCGGATGCAGGCACATGGCTTAAGTAGCTTGCTGCTGCAGAACCCTAATTGGCCACAGAGACCGTGAACGCGGCACGGATCCTCCGGCTGCAACCAGAACATGTTCCAGCTATTCGTCTGCGGCTCCCACGTGTACTGCTTCAGCTGGCCGTTGTAGTCGACCAGAAACCGCGTCAGCCGCGGCTCCGGCGACGCGTCCGACGGTGTGACGATATACCAGAAGGACGCAGCGGGGGTGTACGGGTTAACGAAGTGGAACCGGTAGATGTACGGAACGGTCATCTCCGGGACGCCGACGAAGGATTCTCCGGTCCAGTTTCCGGTGGACCAGTAGGGTGTGGTTCCGTTGAAAACGAGCTGGAACTCGTTGAAGCTTGGGCTCAGCCTGAGGGAGTAAAGTCCCGGCGAAGGGTCGAATGGCGTCCGCCACGAAGTCATTGCCGTTAGACCGGTGACATTCATCCCCGGGAGCCACGTGTCAGTCGGATTTTCAAAGCTCTGCCAAACGGGAGAGCCGTGGTCTCCGATCAAAATCAGATTCCCGGTATCAGAGAACCGGAAATCGGTTCCCGGGTGATTGTTGTCCGACTGCCAAACGACGCCGTCGTGGGAGTTCCTGGCGATTAGGTTTCCGGTGGAGGTGAGCTCGAGTGTGGAGGAGTGTGGATCGGAGAGGGGACGGTTTCGATTGGCGACCCAAACGTAAGTAGGGGTTGGTATTGAAGCATACCAGATTCCGACGTACCAATTGGAGGACTGAGAAGAAGTAAATGATTCGCCATTGGTTGGGCTGAAGAAACCGAGCCGGAAAATACTATTGAAACTCAGAATCGTCTGGTTTCCCTTGATGATGACCTTGCTTTCAGAGGAAGACAGTGGGAAAAGAAGACAAAGAAGAAGAGGAAGAAGCAGGTATGTACATGGCATTTGGATTTGGGTCTTTTTCTTCTCAGAGGTTAATTAATAGTGGATGTGTTTGAGTGGCAAGAAAATGGTTGTTGATAATTTATCGGTGGTGATAATAGACATGGGAAAGCTCCAAAAAGAAACTCTCTCTCTCTCTCTCTCTCTCTCTCTAACAATCAATACGTTTGAAATGTGGAGAGAATTTCTGCAAGGCAAATCTGAAAAAGCTGCGAGGTTAGGGACACATACATGGTCTTGCAAAAAAAAGTAAAAATCACTACATAATGCTTTTGGAACTTTCAGTCCTTAGTCAAATTTACTATATTACCCTCAATCATCATCCTAAAAAAGCCACCGTCACGCTGAAAAATATCTGACATTGTTTCGAAAAATCATTCAACGGTAAACGATAAATAGATGTAAGTATCTGACTAATTATATAAATGATTGTGCATTGTAGAATTCATTTAATGCGATCAAGAATAATTCAGCTATCTTAAAGTTTCTTTACCTAATATTAGATATTAAGATTTAACTTGTTTTAGGGTTTAATTGAAAAGGCTGCAGGAAGGGCACAAGAGGAATTAAGAATGAAGGGAGGTGGCAGACACAAGTGCTTACAAGTCAAACCCGCGACCGTAAGAGTCGTATAACTCGTTTTCTCTTCTATAATTCAAATTAATTAGGAGCTCTTTTTTATTGTTTCTAACTTTCTAATACTCTCTAATTTAAAAGAAAAAGTCCCTAATCTAAGTATTTGTTTATGCAGACGAGGGGTTATCAAACGACAAATACTAGTAGCATGTGGATCCAATTATTTGGAATATTCATTTTTTCTTTCTTCTTTTTAGATTATCCAATTACTATATCCTCATCAATCATAATCTCTTTTCTTTAACGAACCCAAAAATTTACTTCTCTTGTTGTATCAGGAGAAAAATAGTACTCTGAACAAAATCATGGTTTTTCATTATGAAAAAAGATTTCAGAAAAACAAAGTGACAATTCAAAAGTTGTAATCAAAACCGGTTTTACTTTAAAATATTGTAATGGCCTTGTGTTGTTAATAACAATAACACATGAAAGATATCCAGATTCCCATAATAACAACTAGATCATACACTAGATCGAAATCATAGAATCGTGGATCAAGACTGAAGGCAATTGAATATGATTTTGGAAATGCAAACATCTTTTTATATCACACCAATTCAGGAACACACACCCGAAGAGGAAGCTGATGATATTTACAATTGTATGTATATCAGTATATCTATATGACTGCACCAATTCAGGAACATAACCAAATTTACAAAACAAGACGAAAACGTAGAGAGACCAAACACTTATGTGGGATGACGTAACAAAAGAGAGATATGCAAATTATGTAGTGGACTAACCGAATAAGATACCGCTTCAAACTTCCAACACAGAGGATAGAGATATGCTAGTTCAAGCAATCATCAAACACAACTTCCTGAGTTATTGGACAAGCAAAAATTGGAAAGCTTTTAGCAGCCATCATTGGCAGATCTAATTATCCAACTATGAATACCAAATTTGTCCCCGTTTGAGAATTGAATTGGTAAAAGCGTAGCAAAATGAATTCCTTTATTATCTACAAAAGATAATCCTAAAAGGGAAGGAAACACACCTTATCGCATATAGGGCAACTATCGCTTCTTTCAATCCAGTCCAGAAGACAAGAGAGGTGAAAGTCGTGCTCACACTTTGTCGTTAGTCTTGGATTCTCAACATCATAATCTGCAAAAGGGAAGCGCACATGAATCCATGACCTTTTGCTAACTGTAAATAAAAAGTTCATTTGAAGATCTTGATTTCTTACCTTCAAAGCAAATGGGACAAGAGTCTTCTTCTTCATCTACCAATTGGTTACATCCTTTTTGTTTACATATAACTGATTTGCTCGGTGAGAGAATCACTGAGCTGGGTTGAGTTTTACAGTCTAATCCCATGAGATCTTCACATGTCGCTAGTGTTTCAAAACTGCTATCACTAGTCATTCCTTTGATAGGCTCAGAAACTGCGCACTGAGGTCTCCCCAAAAGCAAATCATATGGAAGAGGAGCAGGAGCACAAAAGGTGTCCGGTATAGATGTCTCCAAACCTATATCAACCAAGAGGCCTGTGGTGAATGCTGATCCCACACCAGCACGAGCTCCTGAAGGCCCAAGCTCTCCAAAAGATTCTGGACACTGCATAAGAAAACTTTAGTAAATAGAAACTTTATTCCTTTTCACATGAGAATGTAGAGTGTTTCAGTCAGCTATTGATTATGTCTGCAATTTGTTCAGAAGAAGGAAAAAAAAAATCATGCACATTTTTTTACAACCAGAAGTAGTAGTCTTCCACCAACCTCTTCAGCATACAAAAGAATGTTAAAGATTTTTAAAGTCATGCACTAACCCCAATTATGATTACTTCACAGATGCAGAGCTAGAAATCATGATTTAGCGATAGACAATTGTGCAAAGCAACACAGATGCAAGATAGATAAAGTTGACAGCATCAGCAAAAGCTAGAGAAAACGATTACTGACGTAATAGTACACAGGTGTTCCAACAAGCTGTGAATTCCTCGAAGAGCTGCAGCAACCTCCCATTTTCACCAGCTATGATATGCAGCCAACAGACTGTGCATCTTTCACAGCTGCACGGCTTCAAAAAAAAACAAGAGTGAATCTTTAACTACACATTATAATTTTGAACAAAAATTTCTAGAAACGCAACAAAGTGTTATTACAGTGTTTTAGTAAGCAAAGTCCCAGAGAAAAGTTCATTTTGAGAGCCAAAGTTATCCATAAGAAACAATAACGTGTAAGAATGTTCCTCGGTCTCTGGGGCTCTTTCTCCCAATAGCTGAAAACTAAATTTTAAGAGATACACGAACAGGAACCAGTCACGTTGCAACGGAAACAGTGAACCTAGCAATAACTTTCACTTTTCAGCCAATATCAAGTAGCAATACTCTCAACACTAGAGTGAGTCTACACTAGAGTTAAAAACAATCCATCTTCAAAATTAATGCCACGTAACTAAACCATAACATCATCTGGTAACGCTGCGAGAATGTTAAATCGCATAGCTGCTGCTAACATAGATCGAAAACAGCTATAAGCAAAATATATCTAATAAGGCATGGACTCGATTCAGCAAAATCTCCACCACATAAACAGAAAACACATCTCTCTATCTAAATCTATACAACACAGACAGTACGTGATTCCTAAAATTGAAGAACCGGTAAATTCCCACCCCAAAAGAAATAAACGAAAACAGATTCCCGAAAGAAAAAAAAAAGACGCGGAAAGTAATAACGGAGATAACCTGAGATGTCGCCCGAGAGATTTATTTTCTCTTCCTTGTTCGGTTGCGAAATTCTGGCGAGGGTTTTTCGACAGAGCTTTTTTTTCTCGCTTCCTCTACCTCATCATCATCGTAAATTATACTGGTAAGCCACTTGATTATTCTACTATTAGTGTGCTAAATTTATTCATTCTCTCATTAAATTACCTTTGGTCCTTTACAATTGTTATCACTCGTACGACGTCGTTAGAGATGCAGGCTAGTCATTGGGTATTTATTTCGAAACATGGGCTATAATCACTTAGACAGTGGCCCGTTATTGAGATTGTCAAACCTTCTATCGTTGTCAGAGGCTATTGATGGTATGGTCAAATATCAATCAACCCTTCAACTGCTATGAATCTTCCATCCTAACCTATATTGATTGACTTAAACTCAAAGTAATTTCATTTACCATTTTCATTATTTTCTCTATCAATGACGTTTAAATAACTTATTTTGTACAGTGTAATCTAGTAGTAGCTAACTAGATTACTAAAAGTGTTTCTATACCTTTTTTGGGTTTGTTAAAGTTTTATATCTTTTTGTGGTATGTTCTAAACACCAGAAATGAAAAAAAAATATATATACAAATTAAATGCGATTGATCAATGTTTCGATCATTGCAGGTCTGTCTGCCATTTAATATGGGTGGCGGCTGAAGAATCGCTAACAGATACTCCCTCTGTTTTATTATAATTGATATACTAGGTTTTTTTTCTTGTTTTATAATATTTGATTTTCTACATCTAATTAATATTTGTCTCTTCTTTAAATTGAATGAATAATATTAATGTATGTTGCTTTATTCCATTAATGCACAGTTAGAAAAGAAAAAGTAATAATAAAAATAATGAAATCAGTTGTAAAATAACTTAATTAACAAAAATAAACAGTAAATAATTGAGTATTTATAGCTTTCTTAATATGTGTGTAAATATTTAGAAAATCAACTATAATGAAACAGAGGGAGTATTTAATAGATTGAAAATCAAAAGAATAGATTTCGTTGACGTCTAAAAATACAAAAAATCATGTCTTCACGAATAATCGTATATCTGATGTACCAGTTATACAGGCATGGTATTTTGGTGTTCCAACCTTTAGAGCGTCTTACCGAATTTAAAATTTTACATCTTATAATAAAAGTTTATGATGATATTTTAAATTGTTTTTAGTTATTTGATTGTTTCAAAATTGAAACCGATAACAAAAAAATAATTGTACAAATTATACAACTCACACACATAGTATTTTGAACAAAAATCGGAAGTTGTAATAATGAACAGGCTAAAAACGAAATCCAGGGGATTATATACTTAATAATTACCTAGCTTGTCGGGTTTAAACTAAATAGGTAATAATTATAGAACGTTAACTACAGCTGGCAAATAAATAGGCCAACAGTGGTATGAAAAAAAAAAATCAACGAGAAGAAAAAATTGGAATTCTAAAGTCAGTCTCTGTGACTCTTCCTTTGTCCGTCAGAGAATTCTTGAGCTCTTCGTTTGTCAATCGGTTTTCCGATGCCAGCTCGTCGGAGACATAGCTACGGCGGCGGATCCTCTCCAGCAACCGCATCTTCTTACAGTACTAATACTCTCACCGATCGTTCTTCCCCTCCCGCCACCGACAAACCTAGCTCCGTCGCTCGCTGGATCTCCGGGATCTTCATCAACTGCTTCACTCCTCCCGATTCCCTTTCCTCCAAGGATTTCGAAGATTCCGGTATATTCTCCACATCCTGCTTTGATTTTTTTTTCGATTTGGAAAATGTTTTTGATAAAAACGAATGTAAAAAAATGTTTTCAATGAACAGAGCATAATATCCGTAGTAGAAGGAGCTCAACAGGAAGTGTGCAGAGTCACTATGGAAATGCAAACGAAACAGATAAGAATCCGAATCAAAGATTCAGCTTCGATGAAATCTACAACGCCACCAAGAACTTCTCCCCGTCTTTCAGGATCGGACAAGGAGGTTTTGGCACTGTTTACAAGGCCAAGCTTAGAGATGGCACTACCGTAGCTATCAAGCGTGCCAAAAAGGTCTGATAAATTTCTCAACTACTCTCTCTCTCTCTCCATCTCTCACCATTTGATTTTTTACCCTAATTTTTGATCGAGTTTATGCAGAGCTTGCACGACGATTGTCAAGGCTCAGAATTTATGAGTGAGATTCAGACATTGGCTCAAGTAACACATCTTAGTTTGGTCAAATATTATGGATTTTTGGTGCACAATGACGAGAAGATTCTCATCGTGGAGTATGTAGCCAATGGAAATCTCAGAGATCACTTGGATTGTCAGTAGATTCTACTCTTCCTCTTCTTCTTCTTTTTTTTCTTTTTTATAAAAAAAAATACATACATTTCGACCAAATTAAGAATCAATCAATGTTCTAGGTAAGGAAGGGAAGATTCTCGACATGGCAACTCGGCTAGATATCGCCACCGATGTAGCTCATGCCATTACCTATCTTCACATGTATACACGTAAGTCCATTTGTACTGAAATAGTGAAATAGACAAAGTTTCATTTCTTCCATGACAAGGATTTCTTAACTATACTCGTATATATGTATGTGTTATATATAGAGCCACCTATCATCCACAGAGACATAAAATCCTCAAACATTCTCCTCACTGAGAATTTCAGAGCCAAAGTTGCAGATTTTGGTTTTGCCAGATTAGCTCCAGATAGTGAATCAGGAGCCACGCATGTCTCAACACAAGTGAAAGGCACTGCCGGTTACTTGGATCCAGAATACCTAACAACGTATCAACTCACTGAGAAAAGCGACGTCTACTCCTTCGGTGTACTTCTCGTCGAGCTTCTCACTGGTCGACGTCCCATTGAGCTTAACAGAGAACAAAAAGAACGCATCACCATAAGATGGGTATGTTGAATATATATATATATATATATATATATATATATATTTATTAATCTGTATTGATTCACTACGTACTCGTGTTTGACGGTTGTGAATATGATCAGGCGATCAAGAAGTTCACGAATGGAGATACCATATCGATATTGGACCCCAAGCTAGAACGAAGTCCAGCCAACAACTTAGCACTGGAGAAGGTATTGGAGTTGGCCTTACAATGTCTAGCTCCTCATAGAGGTTCTAGACCAAGCATGAAAAAATGCAGTGAGATTCTCTGGGGAATCCGTAAAGATTACAGAGAGCTGCTCAACACAAGTCTTTGACGCTCTCTACGCCTTACATTATATTATCAATATATTATTTGTTTTGAGTATTCATTTGTCACATACGATGATTCTTGTGCGAGAAATGTTGATTTGTAATTGTTTTCTTTCTTGCAACCTAATAATATTAGTGTATCTGATATCTACAAAATTTAGTTATTATTACCCCTCACGTTACTCTTATATAAACGATTCGCTAAAATATAACATATTCGTGCCTATAGCCATTACAACAACAGCATGTTAAGTTGAACATAGAAAAGGCAAACATAACAGTATCGTTGAGGACCGACAAATTTTTATAGTATTTTGTTTCAAGACTGTTTATTGCATTTTGTTCTTTTTTCTTACGTCTGGATATTTCATTAAAATCAAAAGTGCCAACCAAGAAACAGAGTTTAACTGTCAGAGCTACAAAAACAGAGTTTATTGAATTGTTAGAAACCATAATTCTAATATGTGTAAAGATAGATGTCAAAAGTAAAGGTATACTGGAGGTGGAGGAGACCACTTTGGAGGAGGTTGAGGGAGTCTTGGTCCTTGTGGTCGTGACTCTTGATTACTCTCAAACCATTATTTCTCATCCCACACAGCCTTCTCCACAATCTGATTGGTACATCTTTGAATCTGAGAAATAACGGAAACCGTTCCTAGCTTTCCAGAGTCTCCACAACAACCAAGGAAAGTTTTGCATCAGACCTAGATGTTATCTCATCACCTCTCCAAGCTTAGTACAGTAGGGAATTTGCCAAATTGACCTAAATAGAATCAGAAGGTAAGTAATAAATGAAACAAAAAAGCTAGGAAGGCAAAGTCTCAAGAAAAGAAAAGACGAGCAAAATGACACTGGAAGAAGAGAACATGATATACTGTTTCCTCTCTTGCTTCTTATTTAGAACAAGTTCTGTCCTTAGTTAGTTTCCTTCTGGCCAAATTATTTATGATTGCAAGACAGTTTGATAGTGTTTTCCACAATAAAGTATTTATTTTGGGTAATGTGTTTTGATTCCTTATGGCTTGATTCAGAGATGGTTCTATTTTTCCGGCAGTGGTTTTATGTTTCTTGATTTTTCCACCACGTTTTAACCAAATTCTTTGTTTAGGTCCAACAAACAGCATTGCCAAACCAATAAACCAATCGCTAAATGAAAATAAATATGAAATCGCAGTCAATAGATCAATATTTGATATTCATATATATTATGGTTTTATTGTTTTTGACCATGATATAGGTCTTATTTATAGTCTTTTTAGTTTTTTTCGAGTCTTTTGAAGTCTTTTCACGTAATAGGTACGTTTGGAACTTAATTGGTGATTTTGGAGCACTTTGGAGCTAAATCAGGATCAAATTCGCGAAGGATAAATCATGTGCATTGGTGTCGCTCGACACCATGGAAAGTGATGCTTGTCGATGAAATAAGGAAAACACGATTTTATCTCTAGATGTCTGATTAATTAATTCAGTTAGGATTCATAATCCTGTTAATTATTCATCATAGGTTGTTCTTAAAGCTAATTCTAGATTGATCATCTAGAACTTAGATCTTAGATTGCTTAATTGACACGGAAATGTAATTGAATAACTAGAAAGAACCTAGGGTGAGCAAACTATTCGCAAAGGAATTTGGTTTAAATACTTTGTAAACATATCGAACTTGAGCATTAAAACTGGTTTAAATCTTTAGGGTTTGCAAAAGAATTTGGAATTCTAGGATTTTGACTTAGATAATTCTCACAACGGAAGTTGGTTAATTACAATTTCGTGATTTGAGTTCAATAACCGTGCTTAAACCTGAACTCTGACTAATCGATTAATCTGCATGCTTTGATTTCCTGATAAACGCTCTAAGCTTAATTTCCATCCATTCGAATTTAACAAATGTTTCTGCTGCTTTTCTACTGCTTTGTTATTTTAATTTGCATTAATCCGCTTAGCATAATTCGAATTCTAATAGGTTAATTGAGTGAATTTCTCGTCTTTGTGGTTCGACCCTTGAAATACTAAAACTGCGTATATGTGCTCTTGCCGAGTAGCTTAGGGATTAAACTTTGAGCAGATCAAAAATCTAATAAAAACAATGGTGATGCAAATACAAAGAATCAAGATAAAATTGATGAGATGACTACATACACGAAATGGTGAATAACAAAAAGTAAAAACCAATATTAATTTTATTTATTTATTGTTTCAAAAATGTTTGTTCCCCATTGATTTTATATCAATAGTACAGTTCAAATGTTTAAAAAATGTTTACCTAGATAATTTGGTTCACAACAACTTTTTTGGTCAAATTTAGTTCACAACACCTAAATAAAAGTTTCACTTAGGTTTATCGGTAATTAAAAATTAACTACTGCTAACAAACTGAGAGATTGTTATTAATACAATTGTTGTTACTCAAAATGTTGTTACTACAAATGTTAACAAACTGAACAAACACAAGAGAGATTGGAAATGTTGTTACTAAAAATGGTAACAAACCAAGATAAAAATGAATCCAGGATAAAGTAAAATAATCTGAACATGAAAAGATGAAATTATTGCAGAGAGGAGACTATGAATAACCAAAAAAAAAAGTATATATAGATATAAAACAAGATTATTTTTACTTATTTTTGTTTTAAAAAGGTTCATTCCACATCAATTAGTATAGTTATAATGTGTAAGAAATATTTATTTAAATAATTTAGGATTCGCAACATCTAAAGAGAAATTTAAATTAGATTATCAAAGAAATGTTTATTTAAATAATTTAGGATTCGCAATATTTAAAGAGAAATTTAAATTAGATTATCAGTAATTCAAAATCAACTACGACTAGGTTTGCTGAAGAAAATTTAAAATTTTTTTAAAAGATATACAAACAAAATAAATTATAGTTAGTTCTTTTCGATAAAAATAAAAATACATTTATTTCAAAGAAAATAAATTAGTTTCTCAGAAAAAAAAATAACCAAATACAACAGAGAGATTGAAAATGTTGCTACAAATGTTAAAAAACCAAACAAACAAACCAGTCCCGGTCACAGACAAAAACAGACAATAAAAAATGGAGAGCAAGACAAAAAGACAGAAAAGCCCTCAACAAATACATAGAATAAATATTTCACATGAGGGATTTCAAAGACCTTTCCTTAACGGGCTTCCTAGTTCTCTTCGTCTTCTTCACCATCATCATCGTCTTCTCCTTCTTCTTCCCATGATCACTGTCTCCATCATAATCAGCCTCTCTCATATACTCAAACCCATCAAAACTGCTGCTCCCATCTCCAAACGCCGCCGTTTTATCGCAGTCTTCACCACTACTGCTACTCTTTTTGCTCATATTATCCTCGCAGCTCTTTTTACAATCAATAATAACATTCTTCTCGTCGCCGGAGCCGCTTCTTTTTCTCCCCCACCGCGGGCCGAAACCAGAGTAATAGTAAAACTCATACGGATTCGTCGATGCGGCATTGGAGGCGGCTGGAGCTTTCTTGGCCGTACCACGTGGCCTTCCGCGTTTAGGCGGCGCCGGCATTGATACAGTCGTCACTTGTTCGTCGTCGCCGGAAGTTTTGACCCGTGAATTAGGCTCGACGGCTTTGGATTTGTGGTCACTGTTATCGCTCCGATCCATTGGATCTTCAACGTCAGGCGATCTCTCGTCGTAATCCTCCGCCGCAACGAGATTGAGTCTCTCGACGGAAACGAGGCTGCGATTATATTCGAAGGAGCTATTTAATCTGGACGATAAAAAGTAAAAAAATAAAGAAATTTGTAAACCGGGTCGCCCGGCATTTGGAATTCGGGCGAAATTAAATTACCCGATTAACGAAACTACAACTAAAAACCCTAAAAAAACAACGAAGCAAAAACGAAAGAAGGAGACAATAATCGAGCAGATTCGAAGTGAGAAGAAAATGGGATTATTACCTTTCAGAAGCGCCATTAGAATCGCCCAAGCTCACATTCCCATTCGAGCTATCTTCTCCGTCGAACTGAGAGAGTTAAACGAACAATGGAGATATACGACTTTGTTGTTTTTTAAAAAAGAAAGAATAATCGGAGCCAGAGGACGAAATGTAACTCAACCAAGGAAAATAACAACCACCCATTAAACCTAATCGATGAACTTAGACACCCAGGATCCAAAAACCCAGAATTTTTAGGGTTCTTTCAAGTTTCCCCGAACCGCGAAAAACAAAAGCAAAACAAAAGAACCCTAATAACAAATGCTGGGCATACATGGAAGCGAAATCCAAAAGAAAGATGGCGAAATGAAATTACGTATGGATAATAATTGAATTTACCTGGTGAATGAGAGGCGGAGAAGAAGATGACGGAGAAGGGAGAAACCACGACGAGTCAATTAGGTTGAATAACTCGGCGGCATCATCGCCGTCGTCGGAGGAAGTGAGAGGAATCACATCCCACGGAGACTGGTTGAGGTGACACACATATGTCTCCGGTCTCTCTCCGCCGTAACCTGCTGTCGCTAGAAGCATCGATGAGAGCTTCGTGTTCTTCCTAATCCTCATTTTTACCCCCAAAAAAACAACTCTTAATGTGGCCCCAAAACACACAAAGAAACCAACCAACTTTGAAGACTGAAATTTATAAATATGTCACCACGTAAGCATCTATCTTCTCCATTCACCTCTTCTTCCCGAGCAGTTTTTTTTGTTGTCTTTCTTTTTATTTTTCGGAGCAGATCTCACAGAACTCGATTAGGAGGGGTGTTTTTTTTTTTTTTCTTTTTTTTGCTTTTCTCGGCCTTACATATATATTTTCATTTGATTATTGTCCTTAGACGGAATTACCCTTAGGTTACACTTTAACTCCCTAAAGTACCCTCTGATAGAGTAGCAACAATTAAAAAAAAAAAAAAAAGCTGCCGCTAAAATTTACCAAATTTAAGTTAGAATGAGCACAGAATCGCCTGTGGCAAGAACCACCGTAACATATAACTCTTTCTGGTCAACAACATCTAAAACTGAAAACTCTTGATCGTTTGTTGATTATACAGTATTACACTGAGTTTGAATAAACCCTCCTCTTTTGGTCAACAAAATAAATGTGTATATACATCTCTTATTATACTATGAAACTGTGTAAGTAAATTTTAAGGTGTTGATTGGTTTATCCGCTATCACCCGCAAACGCTGCGTTTGCGGTTGATAGCGGTTAATGGCGTTTTATCACAATCATAGAAATTGCTGTAAACCGCTCTGTATCGTTTTATACCGCTGAAATTCAAAAGCTGCTTCCCGCCAGCGTTTGCGGTTGCGGACGGTAGCGATTGGATAAAAAAAAATAAAAAATAAAATAAAATAACGCTAAAAAAAATTAGAAGATCACGTTAAAAACAATTATAAAATCAATCTTCTCCTATATATAAAAACCCTAATTTCTCAATTTTTCTATAAAGTTCTAGTCTCTAATGATGACTTTCATATCAGTTGAATAAAATTAAGATACAAACATAAATACCATAATACTTTGGTTTAATTCATTTATATTAATTGTTCTATTTCCACTTTTAAAGTAAGAAATTATAAATATGTATTTTATTTATTACAAAATTAGTTTGTTATAATTCTTTTTTTTTGTTCTTCAGAAAGTTACATGATCAAATGAGATGACATTTGCATTACTTCAATGGATCATTGTTGAAAAACAAACTTAAAATAAATATCCTAGATTTTTGAGTGTACTCCAGAAGGAACGTATTTTAAAGAATACTAATGAGCAATTTGGAGTTGATTTGAGTTTGGGTCGTGCAAAAAATCGATTAAATCAATTGAAAAAATTTTACATCATGTATAAGACAAATCCAGAAGATCCACGTATTGGAGCAAATTTTTTCTAGTTTATTACATTACTAGACACAATTTTGAGTTATGTTCCCAATAATTAAAATAAAACAAATTAGTTTTTAAAATAATTATTTATAATTTTTATTAATTATTTTAAACTAGTGATTTTGATATTAATCATAATAGTATAGTTTTCTGTTTTTTTTTTATAATTATATATGATGTTTATTTTGGTAATTTTATGTTTAACCGCTAAAACAACCGTTGTCTGTCAGTTAAAAATGTTTCGCAAACGGACCCGCCTTAAAAAGTTTAACCAGTCGTGCAAACCGCTGAATAACGCTTAAAACTGCAATCGTCCGCTATCGCAAACTCCTGCAGTTGCAACCGTAACCGCTGCGTTTAAAACATTCAAGACCTAAGTCATATCCTTTTTGTGTTTGTCAATGACATAAATGTATTCAAATTATAACATCCCCAACAGTACTGTTAAAAATTCTCAAGGGGATCTATGATCCATTTCGCATGAAGTCAACGCCGGTTCTACTAATTTAAGCTCAAGCGAGGGAAGTTTGGACTTCATTATACCTGGAGCTAAATTTTATTTTTAGCAGCCACATTTTTCATTAAAATGTACTTCTTGTAATCTAATGGTAGAGGCTTTTTAATGTGGAGGAGATTTGGAGTTCTACTTAGGCCCTCTTTCTCTAGTTCCCATTTAATTCTTTTGTAAAAATTTACTAATTAATGGTTTTTGGTTATTTTTTTTTTTGCCGGCCTTCAAAGTTTTAAGAATCAGCTATGCGTGAGGGTTAATTATATGATATCTATAAAATGCTCTCGGCACAACGGGACATACAAACACCAACTATAAGAAACCCAGCCAAAAGCTTCATCCTCAGACAATAGGAACAAAGCCCAAAAAAGGGACGTCGAAAAATCCAAAAACAGAGAGGACCAACCAAATTCAACAAATCAGTAACTAACATGCCAACAACAAGATCGAACAAAAACACAACTCCTCCCTTCAGAACCCTTCACCTTGGAAGCTCTACCTCCGAGAGGAGATGTGAAGAAAGCAACCACACATTTGTTTTCGATTTGAAACTTCTATATTAAAGTTCTTGTTCGAGTACAAGTTATAACCATGCTTTTTTTTTTAGATGGTGATAGTCTATTCACTGATCATAGATAATAATAAGATGTAAAGATGGCTATAAGAAAATGGACAAAAATAAGATGTAAAATTAATGGTTGTTATCTCTTTGTTAACCACAGCAATTAAGATGTCTGATTAATGAAATATTATCAAAAAAAAAAAAAAAAAAGGGAAAATTTACAAGCGAAGAAAATAGAAATCAGGGATGATTGGGGTCCTACACAAAGGACACGTCATTTTATCGTCATGGATCCAACGGTCGATACAGCTCTTGTGAAAAACATGTACGCAATTCCTCAAACACCGGACTTCGTCATCGCCGTCGAACTCATCTTGACATATCCGGCAACTCTCCGGCGAATTCACCCGTGATATCTCTTCGACTTTTGTCGCCGGAAGCATATCGTCTATGGGAATCTTGTTTTCCGACGAGTAAACACCAAATAAACGAGTTGGATCAAGAAATGAACAAACCGCTCTCACAAAATCAATCAGAATTACTCCGGCGATGATAACTCCGGTCCCGCCGTAAGAAAAGCCCATGATTCCTTTTTCAAGAACGGTGGATAAGAAATCTTTTAATAGGGTTCGATCAAATTTGGAGAAGGAAAGATTTTGAGAGCACATAAAATGGTTACGTATATTATTATTTGTATATTCCACAATTCGGTGTTAACGTGGATCGCGAGGGCGGGATTTGTAGAAGAGAGGATTGTAGCGTACGTTAAAGAGATAAAGCTACTGGCTGTGACGGGAAACATCCTTTAATTAAAGAACATGTCATTGGATTAAAGGTATATGATTGGTTGGTGACAGACAGTAACGACGAAAATAACGTTAAAGTAGAAAAGAGAAGATCACATAGTTGAAAAACATGCCTTAGAAGCAAAAGCAAATTACGTATTATATTTTATATTCAATAATTAAATAAGGGATATATATCAGTATCACAATTAGTTTTCTTTTACGTATATAGATGGCTAGATCAACTTTTTTTCTTAGCTCATTCATTCGTTTTTTTCCTTAATTACTGCAATGTTTCGAATCGATTGACGACTATTATCTGTGGCGTAAGAGTATTTACTAACTTTTTCTTTGAATCAGATAGTATAGTAATATAAAAGGTCCATTAATTGTTGTAGTTCTATTATGTATCAAGAACACATCGCAGATAGAGAATAAGTCACTTTTGGGACAAAAAAACAAAACTAAAGTTCATTCATTTAAGAAATTACGTAATACAATGCTCGACGCCTTGATTTGGACCAAATTGTGACATAAGGAAATACAATGGTCCAAAACAGAGAGGTACGGAAATTTAGGGGTCATTTCCACCATAGAAAAACTCCTTAGATAAACAGAGAAGTTAACAAAACAATCACACAGACAAACAAAAAAAATCACTCATAAAAAAAAATCAACCACACAAGAGAGTTATGTATAGATTGTAATTGCCAAATCACCAGCTGAAACTGATAGATTCAAAGTGAAGATTATCAGCCAAACCAGAAGAACAAATCTGCGCCACTTCTTGTCTCATCTTCTTCGGACCACACACCATAACTCCCACGCTTGAACCTTTGATCTCAAGTAGCATCTCTGTTTTCACACATATATTACTAGTCAGAATTCTGTAAATTTTGAGTAGAAATAAATTTATATAACGTATATGCTTACTCTTGAGGTTTGGTCTTTCACCGAAATGGAGGTTGGTGCATTGAACAAGTGATTCTTGAGGAGTGCTCTCGATTTCTTTGTTAACCCATGAGCTAGGAGATGATGTTGGACTCGGTACATCGACGTTTTGGACTTGTTTACTGCTCTCAACATTGTACTTCTTCTTATTCCACAACACAGTTGCACTTGACGTCATCATGATGCTTACGCAGAGGACAAGGAGATAAAGGATGTTTCTTGCAGCAGCATTATACTTTTGCTTGTTTAGATCGATCGGGTAAATGTAGTATCTCGTCATGACTCCGACGATTATCAAGAATATTATAAGAGAAGATGAGAGGATGGCGGCAAGCCAGAGCCAACAGTTTGGTCCCAGGATTGCTGAGATTGGTTGGTCTGAGGGACTTGGCTTGAACCAGAGGGTTTTGATGTCTTTGGTTTCTTCGTTTCTTGGTTCGTTTTCTTTGGTGACAAAGGCTTCGATTTGGATGTTTAGGGCAGTTGGTAGTTCGAGACCGGATGCAGGGAGGATAAGGTCAAGCATGGCGATGTCAGATGAGTTCTTGAACGCGGAAATCAAGGTTATTTTGGGAAGTTCACATGTCGTTGTTTGGGTCATGGCGATTAAGTCACGGATAATGGAGATAAATGGAGTAATTCCGCTCCCTCCGCTAACCATAACCAAAGAATCGTGCCTGAAAGCAAAAGAAAAAGACCTCATCAAGGTTACTTGTGATCGATGCAAGAAAATCCAACCCTAATCCACTCTGCTTTAACCACAAGAAATCTAGTTTAAAACTGATCATATATGAACAGGAAAGTAATTGTATTACCTTAAGAAATCTGTTGAAGCAGGGCCATAGGGTCCTTCGACAGAAACAGAGAGAGTACGATCGGTATGACCCGAAGAAGAAAGCATCTGGTAAAGCTTGGTAGTCCATTTCCCTTCGCTCTTGATCACAATGCTTAGCTTCTCTGCTTCGAGGTTACTGCTTGAAGTAATCGTAAATGGATGCCATTGCAGCTTCGAGATGCTTGGTATGTTCACAAACAGTGTGCTCGTCGGGTTATACATCAGTCCTGTAGCATCACACATAGTTATATTTAGAGATATTATATATTATGTTGTGCCAAAAACCCTCAAAATCGATCCAAGCCTAATCTTATCAGGGCCAAGACCAAACCGGTCCACATAAATCAAAATCCGCTCAGTTCTAATTAAGAGAGAACAAACATATATACTCCTATAGTCCTATCTATATATAGCTCATTAATTGAGGCAAGAATCTTGAATTTTTATATGTAATCTTATCTTGATGAAGGGGCTAATTAATTAATTACCTTTGGCTTTGGAGAAAGTGAGCTCGACGGTGTTGGAAGGAAGAACACGTGCAGATAACAATCGGATATTGTCACGTGACTGTAGAAACCTCAAGAAACGATCGACCATAAACATATAAAACCCGGGGAAGATGATAAAGCAGAAGGCGATGCCTACGTGGAGCACGTAGAAGAACATGAAGACGATGTAAAGGTAGTGAGTATAGAAGAAAACTTCAAAGAATCTCCTCCTAATGGACGGATATGAGGTGGCCCACATCACAAGTCCAGACAGCAAAGCTATCTCTCCGGCAACATTCGACATCTCGGTCTTAGACCAAAACACCATCTGAGAGATTTCGTGCATTGAGGCCCAATAGATAATGAAACAAAGGCCGTGAGCGGTGAATATGGTCATGAGCAAGTGACCAAGCCAAATATGGTACTTGATGCTTGACTCTGACGTCAGCCCTAAAACCGGAAGCAATGATGACCCACGCACCACTGGTATGAACAGGAAAGCTAGACATAGGTTACCGACTAGCCCGATCCTTATTGCCATTCCCTCCAACATTGCTTGCCACCTATATATACATACACATGTAATTAATGTTGTGTTCTGAATAGAAAGTGAGTAGTAGTACTTTATGAAAGAGTGCTTACATTTTTTGATGACGTTTAGCGGCTATTTGAGGTGTAATCATGGGGAAAGCATTGCGCAAGTAAATGAAGAAGTTCCAGAGAACAAGAGCCACAAACATTGCCAAGAATATTAACTCAGTTGCTGAGACTATCCCCAATGGCCCTTTGACCAACATTGGCCTTCTCATGGCTGCCATCACGCCTCCTCCAGTTGTCTTCTCCCTGTTACGATCATATCGTTGTGTCAAGATTATAATTAAGATACATAATATGTTTTTTTTTTAAAAAAAATTACTGACTGGGTAATTAGTTATTAATCTTTTGTTTCTTCAAGTGAGTGGGTAAAAAATTACCTAAGGACATGATTATTAATCTTTTGTTTCTTCAAGTGAAGGTAGAGACATCCCAAACATCCCAAGAGGAGCACAGGGAACATTAACATGAAAAGGGTCAAGCCTGCATGCCGTTCCAAACAGAAAAAAAAAAATCAAATGGTGTAATAATTTATAATGCGAATATAGGAAATGAAGGGAAAAAAAATTCAAATAAACTAACCTGCGAGACCAAAATAAGTAGAAAAGCCAAACTCAGTACGCATGACAGGTAACCACTTGGTTCGGTAGATTAAGGTTGGCATGAGGATCCAAATGAAGATGTAACCTAGGAATATTACCAGCATGAAGAGCTTAAGCAATCCCTTAATCACATCTTTGAACTCATCTCCCGACGATGGGGTTCTTGCCGAGGCTCTTTCACTCTTATCCATATCCTTCTCTATCTCTCTCTTGGTCCCTTTCTCTAAACCTTGATCAAATGTTGTTGTAGTGGAGAATGAGAGGAGAGAAAGAAGTGTATATATAAGAGATTAATTATGTTGTTGTGGAGTGACTCGTACGGAATGGGTACAAAAGTAGTTGCATGGTTCAGGCATTTTGACCCTCTCCAAGGATATCGTTGTGTTTTAATTCATTATTTTTTTTGGTGTCCATATGACGTAAATACGTATTAAAATTGAACTAGAGGGGATTAAAAGAAGTTAGTAAAAGATTGACTTTGGGGAAGAGGCCGAGGACCATGCAACCTTTATCGTTCATACGCGATTTGATAATTAATTATTACAATTTTTTTTCTTTTTTTAATAGTATTTTGTAGCAATAATTAATTAATTATTAATTTCAAATAACCTACACGTATGTAGTCTATTTCATTTTGCGACATGTAATGGTGACCAAAAAAAAGAAAAGGGAAATCTAATGGCATGTTTACACCATATATTAATGACGAAATAATTAACTTGTTAGACTGATCGGAGGTGGGGATCATGCGGTACGGTAACATATGATGCGCCGTACCATTCTTCTTTGGCTAATCGTCAGGACATATATGACATCACCGCGGCTTTTGACCCTCTCTACACATTTATTATTTGTTTTGCTTATCTAATCAGATTTATTCCTATTTACGAAACAAGATTTTGTTGTTGGTGGTGTTAGAGACGATATAATATTCAAAGGTATTAACTTATAGTATCAATCTTCATCCAAAATTCCTAATATTATGTTGTCTCCAAGTTCTTAAATCCATTTCGGTAGTAAAAATATGTTTGATTTTACGGTATTTTCGTCATCATTAAATATTAAACATTAATAAGACGAAAATTTGGGGGGAAAACTACTAGAGAAAATTCACTACAATTAATTGGTTATTTTTTTTTACAGCAATTAATTTGGTTATCTATAATGATGAATAAAAAATTTGAAGCCCATTAAAGTGCTTGTATATTGGATGCTAAAAAAAACAGTCGCCTACTTGTAATATTAGATCTGTCGGTATTAAATGGGCTTCAAATTATTGAAGTCAGGTCTACAAAGCCTGCCTTATCTGTTGTAAATTGTACTTGTAATGTGTTCTGTTTTTTTTCGGCTGTAACTTGTTCTCTATCCCACCCGGAAAAAAGTTTAGATGGCTTGAGTAGTAAGTAACCAGAACCACATGAGCAGAGGAATGACGAGAAACGATTTGATGTTTGTTGTGAATCAAACTAAAGAAAGCAATAATCAAAGAGAATGAAATCGTAAATTGAGGCAAACACCGTTTAGAGTTTTTTTATTAATTGTGTGAATGGTTAATTACAATTTTTATGTCTTGTATTTATACCCTAAAAAAATCGGACTTCCAAATTCATTCGATAAATGAAATTTTTTATCAAGCCCATTAAGGAAACCGTACCTTCAGCCCGTTCCATTCATCAAGAAACAACAATGTTTATATTTTCAATGAATAAAAAATGAACTAGGTTAATCAAATCTAATTTCGATTTATGAGTTGTTTTGGCTAATGATGGATCTCAATTTGATGTTTGTTGTGAATCAAACTAAAGAAAACAATAATCAAAGAGAATGAAAAAGCATATTGAAGCAAACACCTATTCAGTGTCTTCATACTTCTTGTAAAGCATTGGCACCGTGTTAAAAATACAAAGCCTGTGGATTTCAACAATATATTATTATTTGGTCAAGACATAATCACTAGATAGATAAACAACGAGAGTATGAGAACTAGTTGTATCTGTTGCTTACAGATGTAGACCAATGACAAGAAGCTGAACCAGTTTCCAATGATCGATACGAGCCAAAGTCCTATGAGAAAAAAAAAAAGTCCATAAATCATTTCAGGGACTGCTATTAACAAGACTTGAGACACCAAACATCGAATGACCTTGAAAGCTAAGCTACATTATCATTCCAATTCGATCAATTTAAAAAGAAATCAGACTGCTACTAAAATCACAAGCTCACGATCCACTGTTATTCATAGAATCAGCCATGGATTTACTAAAAACATAGCTCAGAACCGAAATCTCATCTGACTAACACAGGCGAGTAGTAAGCGAAATAACGCTCGCTAATCAACGAACACCCAGGATATAAGTGAATCAGAATCTAAGTATTCACTCTTTGATGAAGACAGATACAGAAAAATCCAGAATTATAGGCCATTTTTCAGCTGAGCTAGAGATGAAATTGGATTGAAGAGACGAAACTCTGTGCAGAGGTTATACCTGGTTGTGCGTGAATTTGTGTTCTTACTTTCCTTTGGTTACAATAATATTTTGCCTAATCACACCATTTAAACTTGTTGAACACGTAAACAATTATTAGCGTGTAAAACGAGTTTGATTTTGGATTTGAGAAACTGGTAGAGGATCATTTACTTCTTATGTTAATTTATTCCTCAAGAATTCCAATTGCAGTGTTTCGGAAGGATAATTTATTCCTCAAGAATTCTAATCAAGTCTTACGAGTCTCATGTGTATTAATCTAGTTGTTCCTTGAAACTGTTAAAAGGCTGGTGAAGAAGCGCAATGTCACGGGTACGATTATAAAGCCGCAAGTGTGAAGAAATTCATAGCAAAAGAGTTGTTAATGGACAAAGAAATTAAGAAGCAGAGGGAGAATGCTGAGGCAGGACAGTTGTCAAACTCTGAGCTCGAAGGAAGAAGAAGAAGAAAAAAAAACAAGACCCGGAAGAACAGCTGCGATAATTTTGGCTATATATATAAACACAGTTGACAGCGAAGAGCCTGAAGTTCCTCGCCAAAATAAGTGCACAAGTCTACCAATTTCAATTTCCGTAGGAAAATCCAAGCATTTTTCTGTCACACCTTCCATTGTAATCGAAAATGACATCCAAGGAAAGAACCAATGCTGTCTTGAAACAAAAAGCAACCACCAATCATTGAAAGGAGATTCAGTATAGATATCGTATCTTTTGAAGAACATGACCAAATGAAACTCTCAAAATGAAGAACATGGGGATACAATTCTGAAAATCTCAAAACATCCAAGCAAGTCACAAGACCATCCCAAAACAACTTGGAAATAAATTGTCTCAAAAACTATTGATTTTAAAATGTAAAGTGCAAAACAACTCGGAAGACAATTCAGTATTCCAAACTAACAATATCCTTAGTTTCCTCCTCAAAACGCTGTCACTAAACCTTTACTTGCAAAAACAAATTCTCATTCCATTGCCCATCTTTTCAGCTCATTGTACTACATAATGACTAAAGCATGACACACCATATTTGTTGGATATATAAACTCTAAATCCAAAAGAATTGTTTTCTTATAATTACATGCAAAAAATCTTTCTACTATTTCGTCGCGCGTCTCCAACCAGAACCATGCTTAAGTAAATAATGATCAGAATGAAAAATAAAATGGTTTTTTAACCTTAAATATTAATTTTCTCTATCTATTCTAAAGACTTTTAATGATGAAAATTTGTTGGATTGTACAAATTCTGCATGATATAAAAAACATATCAATAAAATAAAATATTCTAATTATAAAGTGTCTACAATACTGAACATCAAATGTGTCTATAAAAGTTAATATTATTTTTTAATAAAACAAATAAAAAATTACATCTGCTTTTGCAAATTTGACGAACTCATTTTGGATTTACTCAGTTTGGATTTACTCTTTCACCATATCTGTTCACAGCAAACACCGTAGATGCTAGGGCCACTGGTTCTCATAAATTCTTAACATCAGACATCACCTTATAATCATCTCTAACTAAATCTTGAATGGAATATGAGAAGTCCTTATCTGAGATGACAAGTAACAAAACCAACCTTTTGCAGAATTTTCATGAGCATATTGCATGACACTCTTAATCAAAATCCTATTTGTCAACTCTTTCTTCCTATTGAAGTCACCATCATCACCAGAAATGCTATTGATTACGTAGCCGACAGTTGCTTTCAGAGAATATCTGTCATTGTGGTTCTTCGAAGCCCAGTTCAGCTCCGCATCTGCAATTGTTGATTTCATATTCTCGGCATCCCAAAACATTGTGATAGGAATCTCCATATCTGCGAATTGAATTAGACGAGAAATGTAAATACAAAAAGCGTAGTGGCAGATCTAAGAAAATATTTTACCGGTGTCAATATATTATTATAAGTTGTTCATCTTCTGAATATTATCTTGAATATATATCAAAGTTTTATATTCTCATCATTATATTCAAAATTATGTTATAAACGTCTATAAATAGTATAGTTCTTTTACCGTACGCAGTTAGAAGCAAGACAATGATTCTTCTTTTTCTTCTTTTTGTTTGCATTGATGGCAGTAGATTTTCCCTTAGTCGCTCTGGCAGTTTCAAGGTCGGCCTCAGCTGGCGCCTCATCAGATCGGTTAGACGACCCAATCCTAGTCACCGGTTCAGTTGTTTCAACTATCAGAGGCTGATTAGACTGATCAATATGTTGTTATATCCTCCCTTGTATATAAAGAGCTGTACATGTTCCTAGTCATCAATGAGAAACACACATGAATATTCTCTAAACCTCCATATGGTAGCAAAGCCCTCTTGTTAAATCAACAGATCCAATTATTTTTTCCCTTCTCTCTCAATGAAATCCTCCTCTCCTACTTCCTCAAACACCAGTTCTCACTTCATTAATCCATCGGATTCCCAACACCTAATCTCAGCGATCAACATGATCATACAGCAATTAATTTGGTTATAGACTATAATGATGAATACAAACTTATCGATTTGATCATCGGCGATTTGGCTAGTGAACTGAGAGACATTAAATAATAGCATGAACATAAAAGAAAGAAGTTCCATTTCGTGAATTACATAACTCGAGTCTCTCCATAGATCGTCGAATAAATATACCAGATACATATACATAAACAATATCACAATACATTTTTAACACCCTTGTCAAACATTACAAAACTAATTTTAAAAAAAAAAAAAAAAAATCATCGTCGTATCGAAGTAGAAAATACTCGAGGAAAAAGAACTGTTAATATACCCAACCAAACAAGCAAAAAGCATGATCAAGGCTTTCTTGCTGCAAATTGATTCCCGGACTTGGGATAATCTTGACGGACGTCCATGGACAGCTTGGTCCAGCCGAAGTCATCCCTAACTTTCTTCCTTTGAGCCACAATGTAAAAGCTCATAAATATACACATAAACGCCAACATTGCGATGAATATGCTCAGGTTTCTTCTATTTGGGCAAGAACTCAGAATCATATCCGTTGAGACAAACCCATCAAGACTGCCCATCGAGTTATTCATCTTCATGATCTCAACACCGTTCAACATCGCATCAACCACGTGTTCATCAACGCTAGTCTTGTTTGATGGTCCAACACTTACAGTAATCGACGACGATCCTGAAGGGTTCTTGATGAAATCAACCAAGAAGTCAATGTAGTAAGGGGAAGCAAGGACGTAACCCGTCGAGTATGAGATATCCAAGTCCTGATACGCCAAGTTCCCGTTGATGTAAACGTTAAAATACAGCATATTAAGTGACTTGCTAGCTATGTCACAGAAATGCATCCGGATAAGATATTTGTAACCCGTGCTCACCGGGAAAATCCAACTCATATCGACCAAACTGTTGCTTCTTTTAGCCACACGGGCAGTGTTGTAGACGTTATCAGGACCAACTTCCCGGCTCGCACCTCCGGGCCTGTACTTAATCCTACCGGTGAAGTAAGCTTTCTCAGAGGCATCACCGCCGGTTTTGAGGAATTCATCATCAGGAACCCAAGTCCTCCACAACGTGTCATTAAAAGGAGTAACTTTTCTACCTCCAACGTTGATTCTATAGACCACTTCCATGGCTTGTTTAGCTAAATCATTGAATTTCCCAGTTGTTCCATCATGAGATACAGAGGTTGCAACGTCTGCGATCAAATCCTTAGGCGCAGATATAACTTCGATGGCGTTAACGAATGCTAATTTCGAATCTCTACTAGGAACCAACCTGATAACGACCTCTCCGACATCGACCCAAATCAGGAATTCCCTAACCCTAGATCCAGAATCGGAGCCGCCGCTAAAATTCCTAAGCACGACATGGCCGTTGACGGAAACGTGAAACTCAGCGTCGTTGAGATCGATCTTAGAGGAATTGAGCCGATTGAAATGGAGACGTACCATATGAGTCCCTTTCTCGCCGACATCGAACTCGTATTTCGCCTGTCTCGCGAAAATCCTAGCCGTCCGGTAGATCTGGGGAACGTTCGGAGCTAGATCTTCTCCTTGGAGAGCCACTGATCCTTCAGATGAGAAGAACTTCACTTTCGATGATGTGTCGGCGACGAAACGGCGGTTATCGACGGTGGAGTCAACGTCGGAGCCACAGTTGACGAGGTACTCGTCGGGAGGAGAGAAGGAGAGAGACAAGGAGACGGATAATGAAGAAGACACAAGGAAGACAAAGAGAAGGAATCCGATCCTTGTGTACAGAATCGCCATTGTCGCGGAGAGAATGCAAGATATCAGTCGATTTCTCGCGATCAGAGAAGCTCGAAAATGTAAATCCTTGATGGTCGAATGGATATTGCCGAGTTGGAGACCAAGTCAACGCGTCATTACAGCTGTTCCCGTCTCCATTTTTTTTTTGTCTCTCTATTTATTTTAATCATTCATTAATAATGCTAATGGGCTGAAAAAAAAAACTTGTCTAAACGTCCAATTCTAATTACTAATCCAAACTTTAAAATATAAACGCATGCAAACTCCGTTCCCATTGTGGTATTACGACGACTTGACACGCTAGAAAACCTGGTACGCATTACGGATTTGGTTTTTGGTTTGTCCTCCATATGATTTTGAGAATGCTGTCCTCATATATTAATCTAGAGAAAAAACAAAACACAAAATTGTTTTGAAAATAACAAAGTAGTTATGAAATTTTTTGTATATTTTTTTTTTAAATTTCCTAAATACACTAAACAACACAAGTTCTTATGAATTTCTTTTAAAAAAGAAAACAACTTCTCCTTGTGAAGTAAGGGGGAAAAAAACTATTTCTCAGAATAAGCAACAATTTCGTCATGTGCACAAGCTGTCACATTGATCACCATAGCTCCCTTGTTTGTTGTAGGCAGTAATCTACAACAATCTCTCCTTGGAGCCTAAAAACCATTGACAATAATTAGTTGTTAGCAATCAAATCCTGCTTAGATGTATAGATTAGTGAGAGCATAACTAAGAAAAGTTAAAAAAAAATGGAACTAATTACCTTATTCCACCTATCCGGGTCGGGTTTTTTGTAGACGAAGATCCGATTGATATCAGAAGGATCAGGGATACCCCAATCGCATTTAGGATTCCACTCGTTGTGCCTCAGATACACACTAACCGTTGAGCCAGAAGAAGAGTCATTGAGCACATGAGACATAAAAAACACACGCGGGCGCTGGCAATCAGTGTAGGTCACGGGACGTGTGTTGAAAGCAAGATTGGTGAAATCGTGGCGTTTGTGCCAGTCGTTGAAAGTGCGAGTGGGCACTTCCATCATCCTAGCTGGCATATACGTACGCGTGATATGGACCGTGTAACCCCACGATATTGACATTGTCCACTGCCTGCTTGTGTCGTAACATATCGACTGTTGGACGAGGCTTGCTGAATCAAGTTTCGCTGGGATCATCAGCCTCTTGATGGCCTTGACACGGCTTGTTTTCGGGAATATGGGCTCTACTACGTCTAGGTGATGAATCGACACTATTGGAGCTTGCGGATGCACTGATAATAGTCCCAACAGATTCCCATATACATCAAACTGTGTTATTGAAAAAAAACATTAAGAGTAAAACCCTGATTGAATGATTTAGCTAGAAACCTCAGCTCTTATCTTATGACAAAGCAAATCACAAATCTTGGTCAGGTAACAAAGAAACAGTGGAAGATTAATCAAATCACGGAAATTATGTTTTACTTATTTCACAATTTTCCAAAAAATTTAAAAAAAAAAAAGAACAAACCTGGTGAAATCCAACTTCTCTGGTGAGAGGAACACCAAGCTCGGCCATACAAGCATGGATCCGATCATCGGAACCGTAGAGATCAGAGTACCTCTCAATGCAGCGATCTTGCATCTTCTCCAACACTTTGGCCAGTGGATAGCTTATCGCGAACCCGCCTCCACCGTAAGCCATCCCGTACGAGAACTGATGCAGATTCTGGAGATGACTCTCCGACGGAGCTCCGATGTAATAGAACTGCTTGTGATCGTATTTTCTCAAGACCCTCACCAGATTCTCCGGGAAAAACACCGTGTCGTCGTCACCCATCACCACCCACCTCACGTTTCTCTCAGATTCAGTTCCGTTTAACATCCTCACCGTCTCCGACACGATCCTCGTGATCCTGATCGCTGATCTGTGTCCGTTACGGTAACGGTACTTGAAGCTCGACGTGTCGGAGGAGATTTTGATCTCGGGCAATAAGGCGGAGGAATGTGAAGAAACGGTGTCGTTTACGGGCTTGTCGAGCCAAACGGCGCCTTTCATCTCTCCGTTGGGTCTCCACCATGTTTTCACGTATTCTCTCCGACGCTTCCACAGATTCGAGGAGGCGGCGATTCCGAATACGATGTGCTTAAGCTCTGTTTTCTCCTCTGTTGGTTTCTGACCCGACCCGAGTCGGATTACGGGTACGAGGAGAGTATTGGGGATTTTAGAAGGAGAATACGGGTTTAGAAACGATATGAAACTGAATGAGTATAGGAAATACGAGAGAAATATGAGGAGGAGGATGATCGCCGTGAAGGAGCAAGGCGAAGAAGAAGAAGATGACGATGAATATATAAGTTTATTAGATTTATCGTAAGAAATTGGCTTTTGGTCCTTGTGATTGCTTTCTGCCATCGCTGATTCGCTGATTTTTTATAACACCAGCGGAGAAGAAGACTGCCGAAGCTGCACCGTTTCTGCAGTGTAGATTCAAGGCTTTCTAAAAGAAATGGAGATTTCAGAAATGAAACGAATTTGGGTTTTTCTGTTACAGTATTTTTGTTTTCTCATTTTTTAATATTTATTATTATCCTATGAAAAAGGTCGATTTTGTCTCGATGCATCAGCATTGGTCTTTGTTATTTTAGGAACAAAAGCTCATCAGACAAATTAGCTTCCTTAATGTAATGGTCTAATTTGAATGAATCTCCACCTAATTATTGCACGTCAACGTACCATTTAAAATGAATTAAACCATATACCCAAATTTATATTAGCAATTTTGTATAGTAATTTTCCCTCATAATAGCATCACAATAAAATTATAATAACCTGCCTTATCTATAAGATCTATTTTTCATTTTTAGCACATTTGTAACTCGTTTCCGCGGTTTCAGATTAATTTTCATTCGGAAATGATCCGGTCTTTACTTACTTATCAACAAATAAAATTTTACTATAAAAAATATTAAAATATACATTAAAAATAGAGTAGAAATTCCAATATACATTAATAAAATCACATGAGAAATGTTAATTTTCTAATTCCATTTTGAAAAAATAAATATTCTGTACTCCTTTTTCTTATTTTTTATTTTATTTTGGAAATTTGTCGCATAATTGTTTAAGATTATACACCACATAAAAGGTAAACAAACCACATAAACGGTAATTAAGTTAAATACATCTATTTTTATTTTTAAATGTTTATAAGAAGGAAAAAATTTCATATACAATCTTCAACTTAATTTTAATGAGTTTTTTAAATACTTAACTTTTTGTGTGTCTATAAAAAAATCTCAAATATTTTTTTTACTCATTTTAAATTCTCAATTGTTATCGGTGTGATCATTTTGCTTCAATTTGATTTTAGAATTTTGCCTCAATTTTGTCAGAATTTAGTTTATATAAGTTTTATGTTAACCATTATTTAACCACAACAAGTTACAGTAACTAGTTTGTTAACGTGATTAGAACAATGTTCCCAATTTCATTTAGTGTCGTTTCCTATACGGTGTAAATTAACTATATGGATAACAACTAAAGATTTAAAATTAATGGATAGAAAAAATACTTCAGGTTTTTTTCTGGACATACAAAAAATTGAGGATTTAAAAATTACACTAAAATTAAGTTGAAGATTTTATATGGAATTTAATTAATACTAAAGTATTGTTAGCACAATCCATGAATGTTTTTTTTTTTTAACTTTTCATAAAAAAGAAGAAGAAGCAATCCATAAATGTTTGTAGCTATTCATAGTGCAATACATTCATTATGTACATATTATGTATATATATATATATTATAATTAGTGTTTATTTAGTTTTTTTTTTTTGGTCGAATAGTGTTTATTTAGTTCTTAAGAACAAACAGACTAATTTGGTCCATATACTATTGGAATGGACCAAATAACAACTATTAGAGCTGGATTTCTCAAATGAGTTCCGTCATATTAAAATTCACCATCTAACCTCGGTAAAGTCCAAGCCGACTCATGCAAAACTCGAACAACACGTAAACTATCAACTCGACAACCAGATTTACAAGCTCCAATTAGTCAAAGATAAGACGAAACAAGTCAACACAAACAAATTGAATTAACGAGCCAACAATATTTTTAACAAATCGGAGCTATATTGAGATCTGCGAAGTGGAGCAGTGCACATAACCCTGGGATATGCGGAATAGTTGAAGTTCAACGGAATCTACACAAGACAATCAAGATTTTTTTAGTTTATGAGGATCCGATTTTCAGCCAAATACTTTGTATGTTCTACGAACTCGTTTATCATTATTAAATCCCATATTTTACGCTATTATTATATATTTTGATGAGTTAATACAAATTTAATTCATCGATATCTTTTTATATCATCACAATCACATAAATAATTTAGTCCTTTAATTTCTAGCTTGACAAATTCACAGATTCTGAATGTGAGTTTTTATCACCCATAATATCCAAAAATTTCCCAACTTATTCATTAGCAAAAAAAAAAAAAAAAATCTTAGTTGAAGACTTGTAGTTGAAAAATGTGATTATATACCAACACTTTCGATTATTTTTATATACAATATATCTAATATAACTTGGTGAAGTGAGGATGGCACAAGTAGTCCAATTTTGTTGTTATATACCAATTGCATAACAAAACGTCACGTAGTCCAAAGCGGGAATTGGAAAATGACTTAAAGTCGACTGAAAGCTCCATCACATTATAGCCGTCAGATGAAAAACAATCGAACGGTTTCCGAAAGAAATTTGTCACCGCTTTTCCCGTCTCTACTACTTCTTCTTCTTCTTTAATTCCCTCTTTGCCAAGCTAATAAGGAATCTTTTATTCCCGGCGAGGATTTTGGAGTGATTCAAAAATTCGTAAGAATCAAATTTCTTCATCAATCAATTCTCTCCAGGTAAGAGATAATTCTTCAAATAGAAAACCCCATTGACTTTATTTTTCATCGTCGTCTGTCATTCACAAGAAATTCCTTCCACAAAGTAGTCTTTTTCGTTGGTCGTATTCACTTTGTTCAGAGGTTTAATTCGTCTTGTGATTATGAAGATTCAACGCTATTTGAGAAGTTTACATTTTTTTGTCTTAGATGGAAAAGTTGTTGGTTAATCTGCAGATCGAGTGTTCAATGGGCGGAGTTAGGCTATCGCTTTTCAAGTCACTTAACAGATCAATAAAAAACTCGTCTTGTAAACAAACTCGTCTAGCTGAGTATGCTAGTTTGGGACCAGCAAAGTCATCTCCTTTCCAGAAGAAGGAGCGTTACGCTTCTTTCAGGGCCATTGGTTGCGGATACCCTCTTGATAGATCTTCTCTTGAATCAAAACCTTCCCTTTCCATTGTCTCCTCCTTCTCATCGAGTTTGCGCCTGCATAATGCCAAGCCTTTCTTAGGAGTTCATTCATCTTTCTTGGGAGGTCATTCATCTTATCCACGAGCTTTCAGTACTGGTACTGGTGACGGGAATGGCATTGACTGGGTTGACAAGGCCAAGGATGTCTTGCATACTAGTGTAGATGCTGTCACTGAAACTGCAAGGAAGGCTAAAGAGTCCTCTGCTGAGCTGAGTCCTCATGTGCAACAACTGCTAGACTCCAACCCCTATCTTAAAGATGTGATTGTTCCCGTCAGCCTCACCATGACTGGTACTTTATTTGCTTGGGTAGT